TAGGGACAATAAACATCGCCACTAACATCACCCAATCCGCCCAAAAGACCCTTGCCGCCGTGCCACCAAACGTTCACCCCTCCGGTCCCTCCGACGCGCGAGCTGGCCCCCACCTACTAGGCTTCGAGCTCAAGGAGGCCGCCTGGACGCTCCGATCCACGCTCCGATTGCTTCGATGCCACGGAGGTCCGAGGCACGAAGCGTCCTTCCCCCGGTACGGTCGCTTCCCGGCACGTGACCCGACCGTCTGACCTGTGTGTCGTCTGACCTGGTCCCGGTGCTGAACACCGAACATTGAGTACTTGAGAGGAGGGAGACACGAAAGGTAGGACAGCGGGAAGAGAAGAGAACGCGAGAGGCAGGAACAAAAATGCAATGTTCGACATGGTGATTTATCCCCTCGGAGGCGACCTGTCGTAAATATATGTTCATATATGCACTCTAAATGTTCAAACATATTCTCTCGAAATGTTCAAAAAGATTCTGAGGAAAACAAACTTGCCCCATGGCTGAAATCATCGGTGAGCATTGAATCGGAGCATCATAGGATTTGAACTATCCTGAAACCATAAGAGGCTCACGACTCACGAAGACGTTCCCCAGGAGAGAATTGACGTGCTTCACAATACAAACTCTAGGTATGTATCCCCTCGGGGAACACCTTTCGTGATTAGAATTTCATATGCATTCTTTCTGAATGTTCAAGAGGGTTTCAACTATCCTGAAATCATGAGAGGCTCACGAAGACCTTCTCCAGGAGAGAATTGAATTTAGGGGGGGGTTGAATTGAATGATCAATTATTAGACCCGGACGCGCCAACACTTGCTTCGCAAGACAAACTCAAGGTATCCCCTAAAGGGCTACCTTTCGTGATATTGATGTCGAAAAAGCAGACTTCGGTACCATGAATTCCCGTGGGGTGACCGCTGCGGATGTCCTGCGTGCCTCAGAATCTAAGTACCGCTTCATCATGAGCATGTAGGCTGCGCACCTTCCAACCAGTCTCGTGGAGCTTCAAAGAGTATTGGCCGCAAAATCAGGGCAAGTTATCATGCCCAAAAGCAGGTCTTGGTATGAAAGTACTTTCCAAGTGGGCTATATAAGCGACTAAACGGTAAATCCATGTGAAGCTCTTAGTCAAACTATAAAAAAAACTACTATACATTATATAGCTATAGATAACTAGCAATAACTCTAGCTATAGATAGACACAGATAGACTATATCATTGTATCCTGAACTTCTTGTAGATAAGGTGGGACCTTCGAGCAAGAGCAAGCAGCTCAATATTCCCTAACAAATCGGGCTTTCACAATCGTTTCACCCCGGACTCTGAGCTGTATAGTGAGTCGTGGAAGAAACAGGAGTTTGAACACTGCGAACTTGTGCTCTGTCTCGGTCCTAAGGATGGTGCTGGAATGTGGACGTACCAGGCCAATGTGGATGAAAGGGTTTAACATGGTTAACGGCTTAACTGAACATCAATCAGTAGCTAAGAGGCCTAGCTTCTCAGCTGATCCTCCCGTGAATGAACACTTGCAATGAACTTATTCATCTCACAGCATTGGGATGTCACACCCCAAAACGATGTCCTACTTGGGCCGTTGATAGGAGATCCTACACTTTCGTTGCATCCTCGCCAACCATACATGGCACCAATGCTGCTGTCACGTGGAGATGCTGCTGTCAAATGGGGATGGTTTTCATGTCTTGTCTTTTGCCTGGTGTGTCCAAGTATTGATCACTGCCCATTTCCAAAAGAAGAACACATCCAAACAGCAGGTGCTGCTTTCACAATGTTGATGGATGGGTACACGGATTTGGCCAATGTCTTTTGATCTGTACTGGATCTGCTCATGCGAAAGCCATGAAGTACTCCCTTGACGTCCCGCCTGTACGCCACCAGACCAAAACCGGGAACCTTCAGAACCCGGCGCCACCGAGCCACCAACCCGCGTAGGCGAACCCAGTGGCGGTCGCTGCGAACGTAGCTCCGAGCTCATCTCCGGTCATTCATCGTCCGTAAGAACTGCGGCTGAGCCGCGTGTTGGCCAAGGGCCCCGCCTTGGTCCCAGGCCCCGGCCATGAGAGGAACTGGAGACCTATAGTGTCACCATGAGTCACCGGTTGGAGGCTGCTGGTAGATTCTTTGAAGTACTATTACTATTTTGCAGCACCCTGGTAGCGAAGTGCAGTTGGTTCTCAGTTTCCGCGCTGAAGGCCTCAGTGGTTGGATGATTCTCTTAAGAGTCGCCGAGTCGCCTGCCAACCGGAGGTGTTCAGCCCAAAAAACACCCATGCATTGTTCATGATTAAACTCGAACTCAAGTACAAGACCAGTTCATCCCCAATGTTCATGATGCCTGAGCCGAGGCATGATAAACCACATTCCCACCTTCAACACCGGAGAGTAATCCCTTTTCAAATCTCCACCAGCCCCAGCTCCGCTCATCAAAATATAGCCTTACCAACAATATAATAGTTGAATAGTATGTACGTACGTATGTAAATATAAACATGTGCGATTGAACAACCAACAAAAACCATATATATATATTGTACACACCCCATGCCCAATCATCGGCTGTGCAACAACAAATAAAAAAATGCCCCCGAGCGGCAATGTTGAGTGAGCGGTTGTCCGGGTCATCAGGGATCTCACGGATGCCGATCTTGGTTCCCGTGAGCATCTGCACCTCCCCGCACCGTGCGCCCGCGGTTTGTAGGACCAGGACCGACCGGATGGACGACTGGGTGCAACCGGGACGACCGAGTGGCATCACGAACGTGAGCCTATGCTGAGGCGAGCGGTTTTCCCATTTCTGCGGCTGATTTGTGAGACCACCCACAAAAATGGTCCATGAACATCATGAACCATCAACCCTGCCACGAGGCTCTGGAAAGTGATCCAAGGGTCCCGAAGTCAAGCCAGTCACTGGGATCGTCCCTCAACCGACCTGGATGGGCTCTGAAAACCGCATCTGGTCAGCAATGCCCGACGTGAAGTTCCGACGGTGCCGCGTCGTTGTCGCCAAGTGGATCTCTTGGTATACGTTGGCAGCCATGGCCTTGTGGTTCAGTGTGCACTGTGCGCACAGGCCGGATGGGACCTATGTTCACCACCTCTTCGGATGAAGGGGATATGTGGGAATGAGTAGCCCTGCCTCAAAAGGATTACACTTTGGTAATCGATTCAGACTGTTAACAGTTTGACACACTCATCGACCCCAACTTACATCAACCTACTCAACCTCGCTGGTCGTTGTCCCAGCGCCCCAATTTCGGCACCGTGGTGTCACGGTGGCACCTCCTTGGTGCCAGCGCCGCCACGCCCAATGAGACCTCCGACCTCAGCTCTGTTGAGGCTGAGGGGGTCGGTAATTAGTGCTTGGTGAGGAGCGGAGCATGGTATCGCGAAAAAGAAACAAACAAAACACACACACGAATGCCATCCAACGCCAAGTTGTCAACTCTTACCACGATTTGCGAAAAATACACACATCTCTGAAGTGCCATGGGAGGCATCTGACCTGAACACATCGGCCGTCTCCGTGTCAAGATCGGCTCGTTTCTTGGACGAACAAACTGACTTGCTGAGTGGCTGTACTGAGAGCTATAAGTTGTACCAGTAACGCTTCAAAATGAGAGCAAACTGCCAAAACTGCTGCTTTTTTGAGTTAATTACCAAAAACACACACATGCTGAAGAAACTGCGCATATCATGTTTGGCACATGTGACTTGCCGGAATACTTGTGCTCTACTACACTATAGAGATCTATAGAGTATATATATTATATATAACTATACTGTCTATACTGGTCCAACAACAACTTGTTCTGGTCGCAGGGTGATTTCCACCAAGGTTCAAACCATCTGGAGCACGAAGCTTTTTCCGCCCAAAAAAGAAGATCCACGTGTCTTCCACAGCTTCGCCGGAAAGAACTGGGTTCCCAGGAAGTGGTGAGACGCAAGGAGTGAGCTGTGGAAGTGGTTCTGGCCACTTCACACCCAGGCCATGGCACCGAAGGTCTCCAACCGAGAAAAAACATCTCCAGGTCCGGGGATGCAGCTCCAGTTCGGGACGTTTTCAAAGCCAACTCATGACCTGCCAAACCCGGGATTTGAAGCACCTTCTCACGACCCGAACACTTCAACCCGATCTGTCAAGAACCTGTTTCACCTATTTGGAGCACCAAATGCTCAAACACTTGACCTCAGTCACACCAAAGCCTACGTAATTGGTGTCAAAGGGTGTATTCCCTGGCCCCGTGGGGTTGCTCTATTTCCATTCGTCCAGGGGTCTTTGGGAGGTCTGGCTATTTTTAATACGCATCCGAGATCATCCGAGTGGTTTCATGATTAATGCACAACATCAAGCAAAGTCTCAGCTTCCACCATCATCCGCATCTTACCACAGCTCAAGCGTGGTTGTGCTTTTGCGCACACGCGCTCGGCATGCACGAGCGTGAGTGGGCTTCAAACAAAGGGGTCGACAAGGCAGACGACGATTCTGAGAAGAAACCAACACAAGTCAAGGTTCAACATACCCATGTGACTAGTTAAGTTACTGTATGGGGCTGACATGGTGTAAGTGTAAGGAAACATGGCAATGTCCTTGAAACAGCCTCCAAAGGTCACAATCTACTCGGTGTCTGACACCACAGTCCGGAGCATAAGCGGCAGTTCTCCTCACATTTTTCGCTGGAGTTCCGCCTGTAGTCTCTGAAGAGACTTCATGTGGTGCAAAACACGCCGGAGTCATCTCCCCCCCCGAGTTTCTTCCGCACGGCGGGGTGATCGTCGCTTCTGACGAGCACCCCCAAAAGGACTGATGTGGGCGAATCCAAACAGCGTCCCTCAAGATGGAAGGATCTGATATCTGACACCCCTCCAAAGGATTCGGGTGGATTTTCCAACTATGAGGGTCCAGGGTCGCGTCTGGGTAGTACTTCCACTTCTCGAACTCTATAGACCATGCAGGGGTTGCAGCACGCTTGAAGGCACTTCAAGAAAAGCATGTGATCCACATCAATCCAGTCTCGCCTGCAACTTCTGGTATTTCAGGCGAATCTCATCCTCAGTCCTCAGTTCCAGGTGAATACCGAAGGTCCATCTACTATGCAGGCACACATGACATATTGACCTACTTTGGGGTGGATGACCCGGAGTCAATGTAGGTACTGTACATAGTGCAGTCCCATTATTCATGTTTGGGTGACGGGTTGCTTCTGCACCAGTTCATCCATCGAGGTCGCCCTGCCGTAAGGCCTTAACGACCGCAGTGTGGTTAAGAACCACACGCGAGTGGTTCTCCTGGGCATCCGGGAGACACTGCCTGAAATCGGCAATGGATGGGATGGCCCTTGGATGAGCCTGAAATCAGAATACCAAACAGGTGGTACCATCCATGATGATTTCAGGAGAATTTATATATATATATATATTAGATGTTTTGTTCTACACAATTACGAATACAATGGATTTTATCTTCTGAATCACGGTATCTCTCCTGGTGTGACAGATTCTGAAAAGATTTCGATTCAACGGCCTTCTCCGGCCTTTGAAAACGCCCTAGATATCCCCATCACGGTGAAGCTCAAAACCATACCTGGACCGTCCAAGGGGGTACTGGACTGCACAAATTATGCACTTCAACAGGCTTCATTGGGCACTAAGATGGCACCTTTATTAATTGCTAGGACACGCCAGACCTAAAACAACAAACAACAAACACATCATGGCCGGGATGCTTGGACATGCCCCCCAAAAAGAAAAACCAACAATTCCTGGCCGGTATACTACGGTTCAACAGTAGGACATGTCAAGATGTTTTATGTGTGTTGTGCGTGTTTTGTGTTCATAATGTTTCATATATATATATATTTTGCAATATATATTTTGTCCAGTCCTGGTATACTACACCATCTTAGTTTCTTCTCTTTTCTGTTCCAATTCGAGCGGTCCAATGTTCGGCCGGAATTCGCGCGTCTGACGGATGGAACACCCAGAACGACAGGGTGGCTGGTTACTGTTTATTCCGAAGAAGAAGGGAAGATAAAACTCCCTGAAAGAAGCATGGTCTTCCAATTCTCTCTATGAACTGGTGGTTTTCACTCCACTTCCAATGTTAACGACTTGGATAGTACTCATGTCATCTCATGTCTCAGACATGAGCACTGTATATACAAAAAATGGATCCTTGGACTTTCTTTGGCGCTTGGACTTTGGCGCTGACCTCATACAATCCTAGGATCCCACATGAACGATCCCACGATCCCAGGCGAAAGCAAAGTCGGGTCTTCCTTGGATGCTGATTGCCTGATGAAACATGTCAGCATCAAAACAGTTTGTGCTTCCACATTTTTCCTGGTACCAATCAAACGCCCTTCAGTCGAAACCAAACACCTTCGTTGACGTTTTGGTTCTTCCGCCCAAGTCTCAATGGTCCAAATCGCTCTTAAACTCACTCTTATTCAACTCATCGATAAACTGCGTGGCGTATCCCAAGATCTTGAGCGCCGCTTCACTTCTTCGCATAAATCCTCGGTCGCTTCGCGCGCCCCAGTTTTGCGCTGCGCTGCTCGCCACCGGTGGCGAAACAGCGCCACCCATGTTTTTTGGGTTTCTCGCGCTGTCCCCCCCGCGCAACCCGCAGTATCTATGCGGTTCTTTCCTTTCAGCACCTAAGCAAGACCGGAGCATTTGCCTCACTGAGAATTTGACACATGAATTCTTTGGGGGGGGGCATTTCAGAGATCCCCTGGACTTGTTTGCTGGTCCCGTTACAGAAACAACAGACTCGGCACCGGCACCTCTGGCTTCGGGTGACCGGGCTTCTTCGGTAACACCTGGTCCCCGCGGATGGACACACCACCTCTAAGAAGCTCTTATTGGACACCCCTCAAGGGACCCTGGTATACACCGCCACGATCCGCCACGTAATTCTCTTGGATTGCTATGGTTCTATAGAGAACCTCATGAAGAATCATCAACGTCCGGTACACTCCTACACCTCAAGTGAGTATTCATACAAAATTATCTTGTCGTCCATGCCTTTCATACATTTCTTCTGTACCTGGACATCACCAAAACAACGACATCTGTGAAACTCACGTCGAAACAGCGACACCGGTCTGTCGCGAGCGTCGCGCCTCCTCTCCTCCCCGGCGCCTCCTCCCCTCGATGCGAGCGACGCTGGCACAGGTCGTGGAAGTTCTGGGCGTCGAGCATGGCGAGCTTCACGTCACTGACGGCGGCCAAGGTGCCCCGATGCTTCCTCGGGCCAGGACGGGTCGGGTGCTGCAGACCGTCAAAGACAGCCCACTTGGGATGGAGTTGAACTGGGGTGCTGCAGAAGTAAAAGAGTGGATGTGGACTGGACATGTTTCCTTGATGCGAGTCAGACACCCCAAGGGGCTCGGAAAGAACTCGATGTTGCCCCAAAGCACCACTTCTGATATCAAGGATCAAAATGGCCATTTTGAAACGACCATGTGTTTCTTGTTCTTTGGGGTAAGGATCTCAACACATGTCGCGGTGTGACGTACAGTGGCTGGAGAGCGCATCAGGCTGAGCAAACCCTGAAGAAGCAAACCCTGGAAAACAACATGACCCCGCAGGTCCAGAGAGAACCAGGTTTCTAAAATCTCACAAATTCCTGGTGTTCTTTGGATGTGCTGGGTGTTCATGGATGTCTACGCGGGAAGAAAGTGGTGCCCCTCTCATTGGGCACATCACAGAAACGATGCAGGAGAATCAGCAAAACCAGAAGCTGCCCTCTTCTTGATCTCACACAAAAATGCATCATGCTGCTTCTTCATTTCTCAATCCCAAAAGCCTCCCAAGCATCCTCATCCAAACAATATCTATTATAGCATATATATATAGTATAAACATAGTATATATATATTATATATATAATGTTTAATATAGTTGTTTACCATTGTTTACCTATACATGCATTCGGGTGGTTCGAGGGGTCAATGTGACTCCTGGAACCATCGGTGCAAGTACAGCGGGCTTCAGTAACCTCACCTCGGGTCCCAATTCAGATCTTGGGTTCCAGGGGTCTTTGGACGGTTCACCACGTGCCTCAAAAATCTCCGCGTCCTCTCTATTCCAAAAAGGCTTCGCGTTCCACTTCTAAGTGACCAAACTTCGTGATATTAAACCTCCCCATCTGAGGTTAGTTTTACACTCTAACAGTTAGGACCGGAGGGCGATCATGGCGAGATCCACGCGGTCGGTCGGTCGTCGACCGAGCAAAGAGCGGAAGACTTCGCTCCCACTGCGACCGGGGGCGACCGGTGCTTCCGGGCGTCCAATTGGTCCACAGGACCGCTTCCGCCAAATGGCGCCTCTCGCCCACGGCCGTCACCTATACGAGCACGGAGTGACGGCCGGTGAGAAGCCCAAGCCCCGAAAGCGAGACCTTGAGACCCACAACACGATGTGCTTCAGTCGAACAGGGGGTGAACTCCACGTCCTTGTGATGTGTTCGTGGGAGTGTAATTGGCAACAACAAACACCAAAAAAGCACCGGCGGCCATCTGGTCCCACCCATTGACACTCACAATGTATGTTAGAAACTATCACACACCCATAGCACTTGTTCCGCGTTCACACTCCGCGTTGTCTTCAGATTCGCTGTCCCTCACCTCGCCATAGGAGTCCGTGTACTCCAAGGTGCCAGAGACCACCTGGGATGGATATGGTGCGGCCAAGCAAACTTCGGTTGTGTAGGACATCCGTTCCCTCGAGAGGATCCTTGGAGGGGCAAGATTCAGCAGCTCGAGGTGTTCCAAATGGTAAGCTACAAGGTACTGCAAGCTGCTTCCATTCATGCTCCCAGCTCGATTTGAAGTCGTCCAAGCCTCCCTGAGGTCAGCGAAAAAACTTGGATTCTCGAGTGGTCTGTCTTGTCCTTAGGGTTTAACCTCCTCAGAAGCTATTTGGACCGTCCAAACTCAAAACTCATCCCAAACATCTTGTTACTTGCTGGTAGAAGGTACTTGGAGCCCTAGGGGTTGGGTTGCGCTGGCGCTGGCCTCCAAAGTACGGATGGGTTTGCGAACCCATCTCCACACGAAGAAAAGAACCATGTCACCCCATGTGGACCAGCTAATCCACCGAACCCACTTCAATATGAAATCATCTAGATATCTCCAGATCACTTCTGAACGGACGGTTTGTGACATTCCCAAGTCGTTGGACTCAAAACTACATGATATACTTTGATTCGATCCCGCATAATTACCACTCGTGGGCTGAAATATCAACCCTCGGAACAGGCCCCCGTGAAGAACATGTGGGTGAGCCCTTCCCCTTCTGTAAATTCATGTCTAAAAGGCGTATGTTGGCATCTGTCGCATGTCACGAAAAACACCCATGCCCGGTGCCCGGCGCCCGGAATTTAAACAAAAATATATACAAAAACCACTCGACCTGGACCTCGCATGTCACTACCCTCTTTGGGCTGCGCTCGCATGTCACCGCCGTGAAGGACCTGAAGCGGCTTGTCCACCCTCCGACCGCCAGGCCACGATGTACATCTTGGGCTCTGATGGCTCCTTTTGGGCGAAGCGATGGCTTTGGAACATGAAAACATGGTGATGTTCTCTTCCTCGTCACGTCGGTGACTTTTGATGTATACATTCTTTGTTGCACAAGACTTGTGACCACAAGTACCAAGCGGCAATACACTGGTCACCACCCTGCTTTTGTATTCTAATTAGCCTGAAGGATACCTGTAACTATACCTGTACTGTAGCGTCAGGTGCAGGACGGCCACGTATAACCCTCAAGGTGTGGGTGGCCAATACATATCAAATTCAGAGAAACAATAACGAAGTCCAATTCTCAGATTTATAGATAATACTTGATATATAACACAGACAGAAGCACTTTTTGAAAGGGCTCCCTAAGGTTGGTCAATGGTCTATCTGGGTCGAATTCACATCCCCTAGAGTGCATAGGTATATAACATATACAGTAGATATAGATACCCCAAAATCACCATGAGAAAACACCTCAGGTCAGGCTAAAATCTCTCCCCTAGTGATCCACATATCCTCTATCGGTGATTTGGGATCTGTACCGGTACTAGAGAAAACACCCAAACACAGCTGGTGGATGGGGCAAGGGGTCACGAGAAGGACAGTTCTTGTTTCGGGCTTCGCAGCGGCTGCACCAGCAAAGGCTCCTTTGCCTGCAGGTGCTTCTGTTTGTCCTTGAGATCTGGAAGCGACATATCCCAAAAATACCTCCCAAATGCTCCAAGTAGCTCAAGTCAGCCCTTCCCAGCCCTTCACCCCTAAGACTCACCTAAAATCATGTACAAACAATGAACCTGCCAGCAGTTCGCTTCATCCTGCTTCATCCAAGGAAGCGAGCAAAACGCACACTCCCTACCTGCCGGTCAAACTCAACGACCTGCCGTCCTCGCCCAGGTTGAAGATGATGTCCGTGCTGGAGAGCAACAACATCGACATCGCCCGGTGACAAATGGGGCGCATCAAGGGGGAGTTCTCCTGCAGAAGTTCCAGGAAGAAAGGGTGCCACATCCTCAGCCAGCTGCGCTCGTTGAGCACGAAACCAAATATGAAAGTGGAAAAGAGTTGCTGGAAAGATTACGGTATATTAGTATATGTTATGAAGTCGGGTTTTAGCCAACCATTGGAAATCATGATTTAATTATTTAGCAAAAATGTTGCAGATTTATTTAGAGAGGGGGGAAGCACCTGGGAATCTATAGTGCTTCACATTAGTGAAATAGATTAGGGTGGGGAAAGCAGTCTGAGACAAGTCCTGAGATATCCTGAGATGCCAGAGAGAGAGAGAGAGAGCGAGAGAGAGAGCAGGCAGACTCCGGTTGCGGTGTGCTTCGGGCTCATGGTTATGCCCGGTAATGCCATATAGCCTATCTGGGCCTATCTCCATTGTTCAACCCCTGTTTGTCGGGTCAACAAGTCACGGTTCAGTAAACTAGTCACTAGTCACTGGTCACACTCCGCTGCCAGCCTATTCCTCTTCTATTCTATTGTGTGAGGGTTTCAGAGTCGCTATTTTTTTTCTCTATTTTGGATGTCATGATATGGTAGTTTTTTGCTATTTTTCGAGGAAATAGCAAAAAAACATAGCAAATCCATTAGCAGGTGGGAAATATTAGTGGAACACAATAGTGAGAGACATAAAGCAGGGCAGGGGAACTGCAAATAGTTAGAGCGGGAATAGTGAGAGAAAAAGAGCAGGGCAGGGAAACTGCAAATAGTTAGAGCGGGCCTATAAGCCCGCTCGCTGCTAGCTACTTACTAGCTAGGACCTAGGACCGAGGACTTACAGGGCCACCGAGAGACAGGAAGCTGGGATACATCAGGGCCATGCAAGCTGGGATACGGACACCTCTCTTTTTAGGTTTACTAAACTTTTGATGGTGCTATTTCTCTCTCTAATTATATAGGTTTACTAAACTTTTGATGGTGCTATTTCTCTCTCTAATTAGGTTTACTAAACTTTTGATGGTGCTGTTTCTCTCTCTAATTCACTTAGCAGTTATTTTGCTAAAGAAATCTTTTCATGTCTACCAGTGGTTCCCTGAGCACAGCTTCATAAAGTATATGCATCTAGATTCCCACTTCCATGTAAGATCATGAATTTATCCACTCAGTCGAAGAGTTTGCCAAGCCAAGCTTTGGGAACTCACATTGCCCCACAAATCAAGCTGCATGTTCATTCAACCAGTCGCACCATGGTGAAGAAATGAGCTGTTCCATCATATACTCTGCAGATCTGTGCCATACTCTGCCGATCTGTGCAAGTTAGGTGTTCATGATCTGATGGGTTTCTATCACCGGGAGCACAAAGCCTAGTCGTCTAGTCTCCGAAAGCTTAAACAGGATTTCCAGACCTCCAGGCTTCTACTTTGCCAGCACGGGAACAAGCTTTATCTGGAGCAAGGTGTGCAGCATATTGCCCCCTCAAACATGTGTCACGCCGAGTATAGATTCTCCGGAAGACACATTATGAAAACATCCTGGTTGATTGGTGTCCTACAAATTGTTTAAATGCACGTGACCTGTTCATACATGAGAAAAACCTGGACTGGGATTTGGGTCAGATGCATTCAGGCGACTCAAAGAAGCAGGGACACCGATCCAAGACTTTAGACTCGACCCTTTCTGGCACATCAAGCTGCTCCATAGACATGAAAAGGATGTGGATATCAAACCCAGTTTCAAAAGATCCCCTTGTCACGCGACAGAGGAGGATCTTTCGCGGGGGGACAGTATGAATAGACCCATGACCCAAGTGGCAGAACTTGAGAGTACATGTCCTCAGCAGTACGGGCCATGTCGGAGCCCCAACTCCGGCTACACGTTTCAAATCTCCGAAAGGTTGTGTCATGGGGATGTAAAGACAAACCAATGTGTACTACCTGTCATATTTTCTCAGGAAGTACGGGTAGATTGAATTCAAAGCACCGTATCTGAAAGGTCTTGCTTGGAGGTGTCCATATCTCCTGTATCATGATTATCTGGATGGTATTGCTGGGTGGAACATACCCACATGAACATTAATCATTAATGAATGATCCAATCTGTTGTCTCTAGTTGGCGAGCATGTGTGTGTGTGTGCGAGCATGAACACCTGAGGCTCCCACATGAAAATGAACCCCTATGGGGCAAGCCTATTGCCTCAAACATTCAAATGCACAACACTGCACAATAGATCACAATAGTAGATGGATGTAGATGGCACAATGAACATCAACCAATCAACGAATGAAGCCACAAAGGCTGTCTATCTACAGTGCCCTGAAGCCTATCTACCAAGTTGAACAGGTCGTTTCACTCACCCGGAGCCCCTTTTCACTCACCCGGAGCTCGGTGGACCTCCGACTCGTCGGCTGTCAACCAGGTCCCCCAGTTTAGACCCATTGCCATTGATACAATTGGCCCATCCGAGTGGTGGCGCAATAGGACCCTGCAGTCCAGACCCAGCCTAGTACTGTCAATGGGTTCGGGAACTCCCTTGGTCGCTCCAAGTACCAGCTCACCGATTGAAAGGAAAAGCTTGATATCTGAGGGTCCTTAGAAGGCTCAGCTACCTGTCTCGTTCTTGACCTTGGTGAGTACCATCATAAAGTATATATTCAAAAAAGTACATAAAAGTACTACGTACAGTATCTGATCTACGAGTATCTGACTGTGCCTCCTACCAGGCTCACTCTTTTCCATTTCACTCCTGAACACAAAGTCTTTCTCGGTTTGCCGATCCAATTTGGACTTCAACCAATTTGCCGCGTTTGCTCCAGTCGTTCCGGCCTTCGAGTTTGGCGTTCGCGCCCAGAACACCCCCAAACCACCCCACCGCCCCACCGCGCACCCCGGATCAGCCGTTCCAGCTCCCGAGCGGCGAAGGAGAGCTCCACCTTGAGCGGCTCCGAAATCACGTGCAGAAGCTCCACCTCGGCGGCCGTGGACGGGACTTGGCTGGTCCGTATCACCCCGCTGTGGAAGGGCTTGGAGGGGCGGACCATGGCAAGCGTCGTAAGGTGGGTGTGGACTGTGGGTGTTCCTTTTTGTTGGGGGGAATCGTTTTGGAGATGTAGGGGTGGTTGGGTTGGAAAGAAACGATCACTGTCTGAATTGTCTGGGTGTGTCAGTGTTGGTTGTTGTTGTGGTGGTGGTGGTGGTTTTTGTCACCACAGTATCCAAGGACCAGGGGATCGGAGGTGCTCAATTTTTTCCGCAGATTTGAAATGTAAGGACGTGTTGTTTCAGGTTGGCTGATACATACAGCATAGAGTACAACTGTAAATCAACTGCATCTCGCCGCCAAGACCAAGATGACCAAGGCGGGTGGAGCAAAAAACAATATTGGACGAATCGTTCAACCCCCACACCACAAAACCACATGGCCTCGCTGGTTTCACTGGTGCAATGGGTTTCACTGGGTTGCTGGTTCATCTTTCACATGTTGCTTCATTCTAGTTCTTGCAATCCCTACGATCACGCAAATTGCATGAACTACCATGAAGCACCATGTGCTGGACCTTCCAACTGTGCAACATGACTGCCGAACTTGAGCTGGTTTCATCGACGCATGGTCAGAAATTCTGCATAGAGCTGGAAGATCCACTTCTGTACAGAGCTGGAAGCTCCAAGTATTGACTATATCAAAGGTACAACCGAAGAGAACTGAATGAAGTGGGCTGGGATATATATATATAATTACTGTACATATATATATATATGTATACATATATACATATACCCCCACCCTGTGAACTCTTGGCTCAAATCCCCAAGACCTTTTTTGGCCAGTCCCTACTGCTGGCATTGCACTCCGCTGTTTGGAAGCCAAAGTCTTGCAAAACCACGGTTTGGGCGGTGCAAACTAGGGATATCCAAGTCTCAAAGGCTACACACTCCAACTCCTTGGCATGGAAGTGGAAAAGCACTTGTTTGATCTTTTTCGTAGAAGAAAATGGTCATCCAAGGTGCCATCCACTCCCATGATAATTTCAGGGAGTGTAGCCCTCCCCTGTGTGGCTGAGGGAAGATTTCAAAAGACTTCAGAAAAGCCAAAAGTTGACAAGTGCAATGTGTTGAAACAGAATCACAGATCACTGACAGATCACTAATAACAATCATAACACCTTCTGTCACAGCAACTCAAAAAAACTGTCTGGATTCAACATGCTTCACCATCTGACTGTCACCAGGCCCCACCCTACTTCGTGCTTCGTGCCACAGACTCAGGTGTCAAATCCCCGCTGATGGCGTGCTTGGCGTTGCGGCACACGCGCTTGGTGGTCGCCTGACCCAGAAGTATTGGTTTCGTTGGGTCGTCCACTCGGTCGTTCCAAGAATGAAGGCCTTCAAGAGAAAGTTGAAAAATTGAACGACCTGGAGTGAAGAAAAACTGACAATTTGGAGTGAAGTATCGGTTTCGTTCCCTTCACCCTTCAAGAGAAAGTTGGTGTGAAGAAAATTGAAGTCATCCTCAAGTAGATCGAGTCATGACCAAGTGGCCCCGTTACTAGATTGATCTAAATTGTGTGTTCTTCAACTCATGTCAAGATAAACCTAGATACGCTAGATACCATTCCTAGGAGACTTGTCCAATAGCATGGCCCCCAAGGACCAAACACGTGTTTTCATCAGGGAATCACCGACTTGGCTTTGTCTTGGACAGCTGACACTCGGAATCAACTGCAGGCCACCACCGACACTCCCCGAAATCATCATGGTTATGTGCAGGGCTTGGCCCCAATTTTGGATGACCCTGAAATCCCGAATACCAATCAAATCAGGTCGTGATGAACTCCACATCCAGTGATTCTTTTAGGGCGTGTAACCCTGGGAGTCCAGCGACGTGAAAAAGGTGCTCTGACAACTCGGTGACTTGAGGTGTCACGAAAGAAAGGAATTAACTACAGTACAAAAACACCACCAAGGTTGGTGCCAACGATACTCGAACTAGACTTCTATACGGTAAACACACACACAAAAGAGCACAAGACACATCCGAAACCATCAAGCCCAAGACCCTAAACTCCCTACCTCCAACTCATGGAGCATCACCACCTCCCAGCATCACAACTGAGCCTTTGAGACGTTGTTCTGCTTCAAGTATCGCTTCAAGGTCGCCAGCTGCCTGCAAACGTGCAAAGCTGAGCACGGGTCAAACAAAAACTGCCAGGCGCCCGCCAGTTCGGCCCTTTTCATCGACGTACGAAGCATCTCTGCATATCTCATCACAGCCTCGCTGGCGCTGTCTGGTCGGCATGGCACCAGGCGAGACATGGCGAGACACATTTGTTGGGCGTCTGTCGGCAGAACTCTTCCGCGAAATGCCAAATTCATGGCCAGGACGGGTGTCTTCTGCCTTCTCCATCTGTTCAACTCAGGGTGTGGCCAGAAACTCTCGTTTTGAGACAGCGAACAGCAACAAACCGCTGAAATGGGTGCTGTGAGCTGTGCTTCCAGCCATCAGCTGCCCCTCCGGTTGCTGTCTGCAGGGTGATCACATCGGGATGCTGAACCACTGACCTTCCAGCTGACGGCCCCGGCTCTTTCCATTCCAGTTCTGAAGGGATCAAACGCCAGTCAGTGAGATCACCGACTGGAGGCACAGGTCAAAGCACCTTCTCTTTGGAGAAAAGCCAACCTCAGAGTCCTCAACACACGAATCCCAAGAACGCCTACATGGACCGAGTGCCAACTCTCCACCTCTTTGCTGGGCATACAAAATCCCTGCAACTGAGTAAGTGAAACAGTCTTCACACTTTGCACTGCTACCCCAACATAGACCATCTCCATGTCATTCAGCTCATTCCTTGTATTCTGTCTCCAGTGTCAGGCATGCTCCAAAGCATCGCCGCTCGCCATGGGCAGGATCGCCGCCACGCTACGGTCATCGTCCTCCCGAGTTCGGACGGCTTTGTAAGGAACTTGGGACACTAGCCCTCTTAGCTGACTGGTGACCGGTGCTTAGTAGAGATCCTCTAAGGGTCACTCAAGAGTCCAGTTGCATTCACCAGTCACTCGAGAGTCTAAAGTCAGGAACGCTGGTGAGTTTTGACATCTCCCGACTCTGCAGGCGGTCTGTCCTCACGCAGCAAGTGGCCCTCGTGAAGGATTTGAATGATCGCATCAGCCTGAAAAGGTAAAAAAGGGTGGTCTGGTGTTCTGTCCTCCTCCAGGTCCATCTGCCGAATCAAACACAGTTTTTTAGTTTTAAACGACGCCTGATCTGAATGTGAACCAACACCACTTCTTTTGGAGTAGAGCCAGGGATGACCACTGACCATCAGGTCGTTTCGAAAGAAGAGCTTCACTACCAGTCTTCAGCTGTGAAATATTGTGATTGGAGGGCCATCCGTTTCAAGCGACTCTCACAATGGGTGTGTTTTTGATTACCACATACATCCATTGAGCTAGGGAGGTCCCCCTATTTGAATACAAACCCACATGTTCATGCGTCAAACTTCGGTCCTCCAGCTCAAGTCTCAGGGCCAGCCCACTTTTCACCTGCGAGTGCGCCAAACAAAGGGCGGTTTCATATGCGGAAACATTCTAGGGGTCGTGCCTCGTCTATACATAAATAGAGAGAGAGAGTGTGTGGGAGAAAAACACGTTCATGTCTACAAACCGTGCTTCCAAACCATCCGAAAACAATCTGGTTGACGCACCTCGGCCCATGTTGGAGGACGCTCAGGCTCCTCCAGTTCATAGCGCAAGGACTCCCCACTGGGACGTGTGAAAATCAGGGTTTCGCCCTCTATGGTGACGCTGAGCAGCAAGGCCAGTTTGGGTGCCTGCCCATGCGCCGCCCATCCAATCCACCCAACAAACCACCTGGTTTTGTGTAGAAAAGGCAGACAGGGCCCTGACCAATGAGGACTATGACTATTAGACAATAATGGTTTTTGTTGTCGATTAATTTGTGTTGACCATGTATGTTGTATGTTTCCATATGATTACCAATGATGACCATGTATGACGAGCAGGGATAATAGAGGTCCTTTTTTGGTTGTGCAGTGTATGTTGTTTCTTTTCAAAACGCGACCCCTTTTGGATACATTTCCAATGGACCCAACCCTGTCTTGGAAAAGTCTGAGACCTCCTGGGCAAGTCCGAGTGTCTGACGGACAGAATGCTCCGTGTAGCTGCCCGACTGGTCTCCCTCAAAACCATTTGGGACTGAGATCCCGAAACCACTGCATATGAAGCGGATTCGAGTCTGGGTAGTCATTGTCATGTATCTTCGTATCTTCACTCATCTTTACTCTAGACCCCATGCGTAAATACCATCAACAATCAACTGAAAATAGTGAATGGCAACCACGATTGAACAAGTGATAGGAGACTGTTTTGACATGTTTTGACAAATTTGGGTAGCTCTTCTCTTCCACTTTTTGTGAGCGAAGAAAGGAACAAGTTCGGCTCACTTAAATCGATCAGAGTGGGATGACCCAGGTGGGACATGAACCCGACATCTGGCCACCCGTCGGTCGACATTCAAGGCGGTTTAGTCTCGCATTTGTTCTGCTGGTGTTATACCTCGCACCAGTAAAGCATTATACCATTTGCAAAACAGCTAAGCAATGGCAGCAATGGTGATACCCCCAAAAGCAATTGGTTCAAGTCCGCTTGTGCTGCAACCATGGTTCTTGCTTGAACCATTTGGGAGTTGGGGTTCATGTAATGTGTGCTATTCACGCTAGCCGAACACTCCCAACGGCCCTTGGTCCCTCAAAATCTAAGGATTGGCTCGACCCCCAAAGATTCGGGTCAGGGTCGCATTTGTATAAACAACATCTCCAACCATATCCTGAAGAACGTAAATCGAAGAACACAAGCCCTTGGAAACATGGTATATTCCACACCCATCTTCTTAATTAGAAGCCAGAAGTCATGTCTTTTCCTCAGGAAAAACATATTAAACATATGCCACCTCACCCTCCCAAACATCAAGCAACACACGAACAAAAAAGAAAACATCGCCACCAGAGGACTGTTGGAGGGTGTTGGTATGAAATATGTATCCCAACGGCTCCCGGACACACTCAGCCACGGAAGTCACAGCATAGTAGGAAAATACTGTGTTCAAGTGTTCCCAATGGAAACGCGACGTCAGGAGGGCGGTCCCGGCATATAGTCCTTGCAAAAACCAGCTTCCCGCATGGATCAATCAATATCATAACCTCCGATCCATCTAGAATCCGGTCTCAGCTGGAGCCTCAGGGGGCGCTCCACCGCCATCTCACCATCCAGCGGGCCCGCAATGAGCATGCCACCGTGCACCGACCGCCAGGAAGCAAGACACTGTGAGCAAGTGGCAGCTACGCGCAGCTCATCTCATCCCGATGAACTGCACTTCCATATGAGTCCCAGATATCTAGATTGCTTCTTTTATCGAAAATGGTCCTCCAAAGAATGCTTTCAAAATCATCACACAAAGTCAGCTGGAAGACGTTTCAGGGGCGCACCACGTCACGCAATGCAGCAAGCCTTCCAAGGCTCATGGCTCATCGATCCGAGGTCAGGTAGGACATGGCAGGATGTTCATGGAAAAAACTGTGCATGTTTGTACCAGCACCCGACTCTACGTGGTTCGACATGTGAGTCCAAGTGGATGACATAGGTGTTCGACATGTGAGACATTGACATAGATGGTTGGCCGGTTGGTGGCCTCTCTTTGTGTATCCCAGACACACTCCATGATCCTGAAAAAGTCCGATGTGAGCCAGAACCTTCTCAGCATGCGTCTGGGATCCGAACCCATCCTCAGAAAATTTTCGGTCTGGACCTATATATATGTGTATATAATATCTAACTTATACATTAAAATGTTTCTTTGATGATGTTTGGGGGGTCAGCTCCGGCGCCACGCCAGGCAAAGCACCTCGACGATGCGAACGTAGGGATCACCACAGGCCAAGGCATACTTGAAGCCTTTCCTCGAATGTGTCAGTCCAACTGAGTTCAGTCAATCCGAAATGATACCAAAAACCCAGTTTCTCTGCCTTTATGACTCGGGTTTCAGGCACCCGAGTAGTCTTTCAATACAAACATCCAACTCTGTGGACGTTCCAACTCCGCAGACATTCTGTCTTTTCGTCCATGATTTTTCAAGTTCTGCAGACATGTTGCAGAAGGTATAGACTCCCCAAGAAATCAACTTCTTTCTCAACACTATTGAGAATTTGGGGATGATTGGATTCTGATCTAAGCAATTGGACATTTCCTTCCTACGCTGGATTTACCTTCCCAGAACGGGATACACATAAAATAGACCAAGAAAAGAACAGGACTGCTTCATCTCCACGCTTCCGATCGATAATTCCAGTCCCTGCATCGATCAGCCATAGCCCTTGGTGGCAATCCCGTGTGCAGTTGAAGGAACGCAGGGTCGTCCCATTGACTCCCACGTCGGTCAAAGAAGCTAAGTCATCCGGTGGCTGATTCGTGTAGACTTCAGCGTCAAGATGTCTCTGAGAGCCTGTCATGGGTGGAGTGGAGAAAATGGACCGGTGACTGGCAAACTGTTTGATCTGTATAACGCTTACAGAACGAGCTCGACAAACCCGCAACCACACTAACAGATCCCGAACGTCAGCGCCAAACATCCGCCCAGGGTGCTGGCTCCCGCCTTTTTCTTGCGAGAACTTCCGCAGATTGGTGTAAAGTCTTTGGCCACATAGTCCACATTCCAAATGGATGTAGCGCTCCATCCACAACGCGGCGGGTTTGGTCGTGTGTGTTTTGCTTGCTGAGAAGGTCATGGAAGCTGAGAACACGTGAAGTCAACAAACATTTGCAGGTTGCAGTAAGGTAGACTCCTGCTTGTTGCAAGTGACGTATCTGTGGGCATGGCTGCAGGACAAACATCAAATACACACAGGAAGATTGGAAAACACTTTTCCAGCCAGCATGTGTCCTCCCGGTTTCAAGGGAATGTGAGGATTAGATGAATACCCCGATGAGCTGATGAGCACCACCAGCAGAGTAAACGCATGACATGGCCAGCCTTGGCTAGCCTGGCCTTTTCTCAAGCGAATGAACAGATTCCACTGAACATGCGGATTGCCCTCTTGTTGCAAAGCAGAACGGGGAACAAAGACAAGACTAGGTACAGTAATTACTAGAAACACAAAGGACCTGAGACAACATACAGTATGGGTGGCCGTGGGGGATTGCTCTCCTGCCACCCCAGCCCCAGCCCTCACCCCCAGCCCTCTCTCGCGGCCTGGCGCCGGAACCGCCGATGATGTACTGCTGGGTCAAACCACTTGTGAAGACGCCCAGCATCACCAGCGCGATGACCTCGGTGAGAGATGGGTTGCTCCTAGTAGCGATGCCAGGAGCCCCTAGTAGAGTCCGTTTCAGATGCCTGGGAGAAATGTTGAACATCCCATGATCTCCAACTGCCTTAACCATGGAGTTGCCCATGATCGCCATAGGATCTCAAACATGTCTGTCATGTCTGCTTGATTTGTTCCTCCGGGGTTTGCGTCTGTGTGTGGAAGATGTCGGATGTCGGACGTCGAAAACTCCCGCGCTCGCTCTTTCCGTGCTCGTGCTCGGAGGTCCTTCGTTTGAAACGATGGGAGTCTCCGAGGATCGAAGAAAACCCTGAGAGTCCAGGAAAATGGCTCATGTTAGGCTCATGGTAGTGTTGGATGGATTGACTACCAGGCGGAGTAAAATGAGTCATTGGAAGTTCTGGGAAACCAGTGGAGACTTTGCATCCCTCACTGCCAGGTCTCCTCCAGGTTGGGTTCAAAAGGTTTGTTTCAGGGCACGAGACCTATTGGTGATTGGCAGTGAATGCTGGGGCTTGATCAGTGGTTTTCCTCTTAGTTTCTTAGTCAATGAGGTCATCATGAGTCAATTGACCTCAGTGGACACGCTGGTTCGCAGTGGTTCACCAACGGAGTCCCACGATTGGAAGATTGATGTGATCACCTAGACTCTAGACCTAGCTACTCTCCTTCCAAACAATCTCACTTATAAAGTGGATTCGTTTGGCCGGGAATACTATGAATGGATATGAATATGTAGTTGTGTACATGTTCGGGCGCTGCTCAGATTCCATGATGGTTTGAGGGAGGGTATGTAGATGTATGTAGTATATCGAGCAAGTTTAAAAGTTTGTAAGGTAGTAATAAGGTATTTATTCAACAAGCACTACTGTACTATGATCATGCAACGACAAAACAACCAACCACAGGAACAAGAGAAACTGCTCATCCTCCAACCTCACAGAGTGATAAGATGTCTTGGAGTCTTGTAGGTTGCTATAATTTGTGGGAACATCCAAGAGTTGGACACATCGGACATGGATATCTCTTCATATAGAACTCATTATATATAGAAACACACATATAGAAATACATCTTCAACTGCACCCAGGAGCAAATTTAGAAATCAATGAGCGTCTGCCAAAACGTACGGTCAAGCAAAGGACATGTTTCAGCCAGGTTATCGCTTTGAGGGGGGCCCTGTCGATTTTGAGATTTACAGTACGTCCTGTCTCGAGTCAATTCGTCATGGCACGTATCTTTTGCTTTTGCGGTTGATCAAAATATAGACTGAGTCTATATCTCAATCACATCACTTTCCAGGAGGCTGCAGGCCATCTCCCCCCTAGTAGGTTGGAAGCCAAGGAGTGTTTCCCACTTCTCCCCGCTGGTTTCACCCAGGGACGAAGATCGTGGTCTGCACCGCCACGGCAAAAAGCCGTTCCAAGGGCGACGCCGGCGAGATCTCCTGGGGCGATGCGGGAGATCAACAAGTCGCATGGGGTTGGAAGATTGACCCAAGGTCCAAGGGGTTTGATGGGTTTGATTGACCCAAGGGCCAAGGGGGTTGATGGGTTTGATGGCCAAGGGGTTTGAGTTGAGAGGGGAGTTTTGGTCGTCATTGTCATTGCAGAATGTTTGGGATACCTTGTGAGCAAAGTAGAACGTGTTGAGACGTACGGGCACGCGGGAGATCAACGAGCAAGCGATAGACATTGCAAGCAGCATTTCCAAGATGAGGTGCTTTCTGACTGACTCACCCTTTATGGTGCTGCAGGTCCAAGAGCCTTTATATAACCTTTATAGAAACTTCTTGGCCAACTGCCACTCTGGTGGAAGCTCTCAATCCCAGTTCTTACCAGCGGATCCCCGCATCGTGAGCGCACGGCGGGAGATGGGAGTCTGAGCCAATTCCGGGCTCCAAGCAACTAGTCCGTTTGGGTTCAGTGGTTGGGGTGGATGGTTTGTGGGGGCTGTCCCGGGACTCTTTTGGGAGGTGTTGAGCCCAGGGGCTGTCACCACCCCGCCCACTTGTCCATCTCCAGACCAGGCACATCCATACCGCCGCTGAACTGTGCAATTGCCCAGTGCAGGGACGCCTTCAGCGAGACAACCGGAGAATGAAGGTCTCGGAACCCTTGGGGAGCGGAAGCTGAAACATTCATGCATTGATGGGTACATTTGGGGGCCTCATTGCCCTGGCCTTTCTTTTGTTTTGTTAAAGATGGTTTACTCTATGGAATGGAGCCTGAAGTTCCAGGTAACATCAATCTATTTTCTCAGGTAATTTATCTACAGTCCCTGGAACCATCATGGTGACGTGGTTGTTACATGGCCCGAGAGAGCAAATGACCGTTACATAGCCTTTGAGCCTTGGAGATCCCCCGTTTGCATCGCCCGAAGCGTGGGCTTTTCCACTTCCAGAACCTCACTCCACATCTCCAGGCGATCTCGTTCACCGAGTTCACCCAAGACCGACCCCTTCAGAGACCGGGCCAGGTATTGCGAGTCCACGGTGTCGTTGTTGTAGCCTCGGCCGTACGCAGCGGTCCGGTTAAACGTCCGGACTCCCGAGCTGGAACCGCCAGGTTCGTCATGTTTGGAGCAACCAAACCGAACCCCCCGAAAACATCCCAAACAGGTCCAAGCTGGTGATCCACTTTTCCGGGGTAGGACCGTGTCTCCCCGGAATCGGCCACGGAATCAGGTCCGGTCCTTGAACCCATCCCTTGTTTAGGCGCGTTTCCGACGGATGGACGGTCAAGGCGGTTTTGGACACCTGTGCCTTTTGGACACTCCAAGACTGTTTTGAAGATGGCCTGATTTGAAGAGGAGTTTCTTTTACTTTAGTGGGGCAAACTTATCCAAGACCCTCCATGCGGCTGGAATGAATACATATATATATAATATTTTATATATATATATATGCATTAATATATTGCCTACATTGACCCCAATCTACCACCCCTGGCCTTTTCTCGGGAGTCAGTCCTGCCAGTCCCAAACAGGTCGTGTCTGGGTTATTGGGCCAAGCCCTACTACACATCTCCCACACAACAGGATCTCATGGCAGGATAAAATGCATACTCAAACTGGATCGATGCGAAAAATGTCCCACTGGACTTCGACTTCAAAAAAAGGGTGGGATGTATAGCCATTATAATATGTATATACATAGTATGTGTCCACTGGATTTGTCATGGAGTCTCTTGATTTTGTTGGTCCCTGCGAAGTGTCCAGGACATTGTTCTCTTTCGGTGATCGAGCACATCGCCGAGGCGCCCAGGCTCTTCACCCAGGTGTCCTCCGTGGTCTCGCGGGCGCCGATGGCGAACCAAAGGCAACCGGTGAAGTGGCTGATGGTCAACAGGATGATGAGCACCTTCCAGAAAGAGATGGGCCATATCTCGGTATAAACAAATATTAATATATATATATATATAATATCCATCCATGCATCCATCCATCCATCCATCAATCAAATCAATTCTATATTATATATATATTATAGTGTCATATGATGCGCAAGGTTGGGCATAGAGCTCCGGCTTGAGATTAATCTTGGAAGGATGAAAACCAAGTTCCACTCAAACGAAAGGGCTGTTCTTTTCACAAATTTGGTCACCAAGGTTTCAAGATTGGATCCCTGAACAACAAAACATAACAAAACCAATTTCCATCACAAACACATGTACATATTGAAATCAAATAACAGCTAGAGGAAATATCTGCCATCGACTTCTGATGGGGTTCTGGAAGAACCCAAACTGAACTTCACCCTTCGTCTTTAACTTCATGGCGCTGCAGGACTGTCGGACTATCATGGTTTTGTCTGATGAATGTCATCTTAGACCAGGTGTCCAAAAACAACTTTCGGGAGGGCACAAAAAGTATATAGATCCTGAGATCCAATGCATCTTACAGTACAGTATCCGCAGCTAAATAGATCAACAAAGAACTCTCTTCGGGCGCCTTACTCACTTGCAAGAGTGGTCCCAGCGTCTCTGATTGAATCCGTTCCTGAAACAAACCATGGCGGACGGAACGCCGACGGCTTTAACTGATGGGACTAGGTGTATTCTTGACAAACATGTCTCTTTTCCTGCCACTAGAAAAATGGTTAGCATCTGTTCTCTAGATGTTTACAACTGATCATAGTTCACTGAGGCAATCAACACGTCATCTAACCGTTTATGTGCCAATATCGTTTTGGAGATGTTCCAATTAAAAGCATCCGCTACTTCGAGTGATCCCCAGCCGAGGAGGTACTTGGAAGAAAGAAGGAGATCCTTTTTGGCATGCTGACCAATGACCTGCCAAAAATTTGAGCTGCCACATGTACTGATGTGCACTGATGGATGTCCTTGAGTTTTCTTCTGTGACATGCGTTCTGACAGACTTGGGAAACCCGTGAAATACAGCACGACACAGTGAAGGAGAAGGAGGCGGGGGAGGTGGAGGAGGCGGAGGCAGAGAACACTAACATAAAATCTCCATAGAGAGCCTCACCTGATAGCTGGGGACAAGAACAGAACTGTCGGAAGTACCGTTTAGAAGGAACCAAGGCCCAGCCCTCTCTGCAAGATTGTCGCACTAAAACGAAAGATTGAAACACACTGAAACAAATACAGTAATGACCTTTGTGGGTAAAAGAAGGGCATATGGTAAACAATCCTGAACCAAGACTTCGATAGACTTCGTTTGGTGATACAGGATGATACAAGTATCATTTGACAGAGCCCTGTGTCTGATTGCCCAGTGACAGTAAGCGGATACATACAATGTTTAAGCATCGGGCCAGGCCGAGATGTCCTACTTCCAAATGTCGCAATTGATCTATTCAACTGATTGTCATGGACACCTGCTGATTTTGGCTTGGCCGCAGATACAAGTCATCTCAGGTATCAACATCATATATGGGTTGTCTTAGAAGGACCCCCCTCTCAACCCCCCCAGGAAAACTAATGTAATTATTTAAGATATCCCATATAAAATCATGTTAACATCAAGGACGCTACTAGGGGCTCCTGGCATCGCTGCTAGGAGCGATCGGACGCTACTAACATCAACCCTCGGCAGCCGGGGCTCGGTCACATTCGCCATGATCTCTTGCATCCGCACCAGCCGCAGCAAGCGGACGATGCGGACGATGCGCGTGGTGCGCGCGAAGCTGAGCATGGCCACGCCTGGTGTCGATGTTGAAAACGGAACATGTCAGCACATTGAGAAATGAAGGATGTTGTTATATACACTTTGTACTGTGTGGGCAGACCTTGTGTGCTGCACAATTTGGTATCCAAATCTTGGAGTGCTAAACTCTCGCCCCAGGAAGGTGTGGCAAACTCTTAGTGTTGCACGGCCAACACGGTCCGCATGTTGCAACCCCAATCCATGTGGACTGAACCAGCCCGAACCAGTTGCGCTTATGCCACCATATGCCACCATCGCTTCGGCCCCCCCCGGAGTGCTAAGCCTCCGGAAGAGAACACGACTTCGGACCAGTCCTAAGCTCAGGGCCAATATGGCGTAAGGCAAAAAAGTGGTCAGCAAGAGGAATTCACAATGAATTCACATATCTTCTGAGAAGGTTGGTTTAAGGTTTGGAGGGTTGCTTCATGTTCCTTTGCTACCTTCTAGACATGACGAAGGTATGTGGATCCATACAGCTCAACAGCAAGGGATCACATGAGCTCCTTGGAAATTTCTTGGGGATAACGAATAGCCAATAGCTCTTTTCCACATCAACGGTCTGCTGGGTTAGGGTTCCCATGCCGCAAATATGGATACATATTTCAGGATAATGGTGATTTTTGGCAGGAAGTTGAATCATCTTTCAGGAGAATGGTGAATTTTGGCAGGACATGTGAGGGTTCATTGCCATCTCCGTGGATTCTAGAAATCTTGCAAGGAACAATCTCCAAAGGGTCTGGTCCATGATTACTGATCGGCCGGAACGTGCGAGACCAATGATGGCGGTTCCTACGATCGGCTGCCGGCATCGCTCTCTGGGGCTAGGAAAGCTGATGGTTCTAAACTATACTATATATATATACTGTATATCTATTATATAAATATATAAATCATATATATATATATCCTCCCCTCCAACATGGCCCATCACCTCCCACAAGTCGGTCATCTTAGCACCTCACCACCATGAATCTCTACCTCCAAGAGTCGGACAACACAATGATCAGGTCCATGGTAAGCCACGTCTTAGCGTAGCGCTTCAAGATGATCCTCGGTCGACCGAACCGGTGTGGACGGAGCCACGGTGGGTGTCGGAAGGCGGAGCGGTCTTTTTGGCGGCCGGCATCCACAACAGTAGCAAGAATCCCAACAGGTGCAAGTATCCACATGAAAGTCAGGATGTCTCAAACAGCAAGTCTGAATATATGGATGGAGAGTAGATGGCACATGATGGCACAAGTAGATGGCACAATCCCTAGAAGGTGGTCTGAACAGCATCTGGGGGGCGCCATCGAAGCCCTGAAACCACTGTAAAACTCCCATAAACCATCTGTGGATGTCTTCTTGCAGGATGGTTGTACTTGGCACTTGCCACACCAAATGAGTGTGTATGTTAATGTTGATTTTCCATATTCCAGGGTCTTTGAGAGGTCTCCCTATTGCAACACGCACAAATATCATCAAAATTCATCAAATCACACTGTTGTTGATTGTTGCATCTTTTGCGGTTACGGCCAATGACATGGTCTGTATCCTTCTGCCGCTGTCGGTGGGTTGGCAAACCCCCTGTTTGAACTGGAGATGTCACAAATGGATGTGGGAAAACCACCTGGAAGGTCAAGCTAGATGTTGGACCCGGGCTCCAGGTTTTGACCCATCCCCAGAATACGGTCCAAATACCGTGCATCAAATGTTCAACTTGCATCATTCTCACGTTTTGACTGACACCCCTCCACAACGAGCACAGTTCTTGGTGTATTGCGGCAGCTTCGTCACTGTCACCGTCAACAATGTTCAGTGCATTCCTTGTGACTAACTCGGACATCTTTCTTCCAAGAATCTTAATGTCATACTCGACTGAACCATCAGCCATGACCACTCCAGTAAAGCAAGACCATAATATATCCTGAGCTGAAATCAAGCATAAACCAGGGGTGGGGGGGGTTCAGATTCCATGTCTATTCTTTTGGAGTGTCCCATTGGCAGATTTCTTTCACAAGGGGAGGTATATTGGAAATCCTCAAGAGGTTAACTGTTCCACACCTTGAAAACAGATCAAAATTGAAAGCACATCATATCAAACCATCAACCACAAACATCACAAACGAAAACCCGTTTGGATGGCCAATCCCTTTCAAAACCCACGAAGACAAGCAGTAAGACAAGCAGTTGCAGAACATGTGATCTTCTTCATCCAATTTCTCTCCAAACACATGCAACCCAGGAACTTCATGTCTTAGGGGTCTTTCTGGGGTGGCATATTTTCTAGTCCCCTCGGCCGTGTCTGGGCTGCAACTCACACAGCCATGCGGGCCATGCCCACCCTTCGACGGCTTAGCCTCCGCGTCTACGCCGCTTTTGGTCCTACAGCCGTAGCCCCATTCATGGGATGATTAACGGCGATCGGTGTCCATTCACCACCCCTTGTGTCCTGCTTTCGATTTCATATTTCACCCCTGTTTACCTGATGTGTTCCAAAAACCAAACTGTAGCTCACACTGGCACGCTGGCCCCGCAGGAAGGGACCATGAACCATGGACCATTGGAAGCCCATCTTCCCCGAACCAGCGGAATAAGTTTTCACAGCTGACACTCCACATGGAACCGGCATCGAACAATGGACAATCAGTTGGGGTGATTTCAGGGATCAGTTCGATCGATCCCTGTGCCAGACAGGTCGTGTCTGGAAAATACGACCGACCTCGATCACAAACCTATCGACCGGTGTGGTGTTCTCTACGTCTCATGGTAAGATCATGAGGCCCAGCCAAGCTGTGAAAGTGAACGAACGCACAACATGCGGATGACATTCTCTACACAACGCACATCGTCTTGACATGTCTTGACTGATTTCTGGACCCAAACGGACCCCCATAACAGGACCCCTATCCGACTCCCTCAGTTTGGGAAAATAAAGCTTAACCGAACTGCCGATCTGTTCAGAACTAGTACATACCCAATCCTTCCACGAGGGTTTTGCAATCCACCTTTTGTGGGGCAGGCCTATTAGGGGAAGAACACCAAGCAAGCTCGAATGCATTCATTCCATCCGGCTGTGGGAATGCATGCACCTGGAAGGACAAATACACGGAGGACTAGGGCTCCAGGTTTTGACTCATCCCCAGAAAATGGTCCAAATACCTTGCTGCAACTGTTCAACGTGCATCATTCTCAAGTTCTTAACTAACACCCATTAAACAATGAGCATGTCTTGCGGCAGCTTCGGCATGTTCATCTGTCCCATCGAAGCTTGAAGCTCGTCCACCACGTCCACGTGCCCCGCGTTTTTTCTCGGCGGTGCACTCTCCGTCCGAGACGGCGTAGGCGACCCAGCGAGGGCGGCAACGAGTCCCAGACGTCTCCGTCCATACATTTCCCCAACACCCTCAGCCGAAGTGACCAAGGTCCAGAAGAGCCTGGTGGTCCATTCCATGAAGTCCAAAAAAATGTTCTCCGGCAACGTGTAGGCCTGGTGCTTTGGTTTTGGCAGCACAGCCGTTGGAACGGTGGTGACTTGACTGCTGAACGGTGGTGGATCTTCAGTGCAGACGTGGTGAACAGGCCGAGTCGTTCGAAGGCCCTGACTGACACGGTCAGGACACGGTCAGCCGGTTTGCTGAGTCCAGTGACCGGCATCGGATGATGCGTGAAGTGACGAGTGCGTCGAGTACAACGAAACACGGAGAGGCAAAAGCCTGGCATGTTACATGCCCCCATATGCCACCCCACACCTTTTTTTGAGAGGCCAAACGTGGCATCAAAACTGTGGGAGCTGAGGATCGCCAGTGGCCCTAAATCTCCTGCAGACGATCTCTGCAGGACCCTGAGAAGAAAGAACCAGTCATTTCCGAAGACCAACCCAGTGGTTCTGGACTTCCATTGTGGTCCTCCAAAACAGTTCTCATTGGTTCTCCCCTCTATTCTGCCTGGTGCGACGATTTAGCAGATTCCTCGGATCCAGCCACCCTCATTAACTCACCAGCTCGGGACACCTCTCTTCCAACTCGCCAGGTCAAACGCGCGCCTGCATGGGGATCATCACCATGTCATACAGGACCATCCTCGCTAGTTCGAAAGGAACGGATCTGCGATCCCCAAACAGGAAAAACCATGAAAAACATCATTTCAGAACGTTCAGATCGAATGACCAGAGAGCGTCTCAGGAGGAGGGGGGGTGGTTTATAGAATTGTTCGTGTCATGTCCTGATGCGTAGCCCCAAAACGTCGGTCTGAGAGTGTCTGAGACCTGAAATATCTCAACCCTTCGACGCTTTTTTCGTGGAAGCCTATGCTGTCGAGGTCGGCCCAGGTCACCAAGCTCTCGGTACATGAGTCGACCAGCTCCAAGCTCCAAGGCCTTTTGGTTCAGAAACACCAGACCAGACCCCATGAGATGCAGCTGCAAACAACAAATAATTGCCCATCATCTTGCATACATCTGAAGAAACACATTTGCCATCTGAAGAAACAGCAGGCCCAAGGTTGGTGTAGAGGCAAAGGTTGTTCAAACTTGACCTTCAATCAACAACCCGACCCGACCCAACCAATGACTCCCCCCTGCTATTCGGACCACACGGAACCCCAAAACCACGTTGGGTTGGTCTTCGGAACATCATCGAAGCCACAGGTCGATTCTCAGGGTGCTGCAGGGATCGTCTCAGGGTCCGAGGGTCACCACCCATCCAACCTTCCAGGGACCCCCCTGATTCAACAGCCAGCAAGCGCTACCGCAAGCCATACAGTAGCTGTCATATGCTGCATGGTCCACCTCTTAGGTTGACCATGAGTGACACACACGTACAACATCTTGAAGAATTCCATCAAGCTTGTACCTCTTAGGCTGTCTCAAACTTGCTCCATGATACCAATCTACACTGCATTTCCTTCCAAACATGCACCCCCCGACCAAACACACACCCAGCACCCCCAACCTCTTCCTTCCCCAGCTCGGGAAGCTCTTCCTCCCCCCATCCTCCCATCCCCAGTGGTCCGGGCCCAAGTGACACCAAACTTCCCAGGTCCCAGGAGATCCGGGCCTTGGGTCTTGGAAGGACGGATGGAAATCCAGTGTCAAAGGCTTCAGGCTTCAGTGACCGAAATGTGTCATGTTATCTTCTGAATCCTTAAGTCATTCACCTGACTATAGCTAGCTTAAGAACGTTGATTGATTTTGTGTCACGCTGGTGTAGCCGGTGTAGCCTTCTGTTAAAGATTTGGCCAAGCTGGACCGAACCGGGTGTTGAACCTTTCTCAGCAAACTAAGAAATTCACGTCTTCCCAACCAGGGGTCGTGTGTTTAACACCAAAACCTGACCATGTACGACCCCTGCTGTTTTGTGCGGAAACCAACAAAAATGAACCGATCCCGGGGCAAGCGAGCACAGCTGAGCACTCAACAAAAAAGTTTATATAGGAAGGTGACTGAATGGTGACTGACTACCCTTGGTCAGGTCTTGGTGCTGCATTATGACAATAAATTCTTTCTGGAATGCAACCACAACATACATCAGGCGGGCACCATCCCTGTCCAACTCATTCACCGCAGGCGTTTACACTTTCGATACTTCAGGCTTCGCAAAAGACACAACCCGCTGGTATCGCTGTGGTTCAATACAGGGCTTCCCAACAGGATATATTATATGTGAATGATTGGACCAACCGAATTGTGAAATTGCAACACGGTCCCACAGTCTCATGAGATCTCCTGACAGGTCTGCCAAATCTGCAATGTTCCCGAAATCAACGTCGTGTTGGCGGGTGGCGTGTTGGGGCAAAGCACCTATGAAACCCTGGGAGTCAAAGACCACACAGAGAATGGTCTGACTAATAAAGGGGAATGTCCTTTACTTCACCAAAAAAAAGTATCAGTTTTGGGACTTGTAGGGAAATCACTCACGCCCCCAAGATCTCCGCGAAACCAACCCCGTCCGATAGGCCACCATTTGTGGTGCTTGGGACGAACACATTGGGCGACTGTGAACGAAATCATCGAAATCATGTAGACATATTATGAAGACGGTTGATTGAGAATTCCCGATAATACCGTGGTTTCAGAGAATTTTTGCACAATCCCCAATGTCGGTGGTCTATATATAGACCCTCATCTAAAGGACATCTTCAGGTCTGCGCCTCATTATACGGTTTTTACATCTCCCACCCCAACCTGGAATCTGAGGCTGAAGTGTTCCAATGTGTTCGTCCCCACCGACGACCGCAAAAAAAGAAACAAGGTGTCAAAAACCCCTCTTTTTCGGCTCCGCCCGGGAATCTTGCTCAGCAAAGGAACGTTGGAGTCGGGGTTTAAGATCCAGCCGTGCGCCACAGGTTCTTCGTATTCGTCCTGTGGGATGTGAGGGAGATAGGCAAAGCCCTAGGCCCTAAGAGGCCCTAGTACAATCTCCACACAATAGGATAACATGGCAGGTTTTGAACCAATGGTGGATCCGGTTCCCAGGTGTGAAGAACCTCGGACCATGTCCGTCCTCCTCTTCCCGGAAGGGCATGGAACTTTCCTTGGCTTGCCACGTGCTGCGGCAAAACGTAGGGTGGCCTTCCAAGAACGATTCCCTGTACTAGTAGAGTGAGTGTGAGGACAATTCAACACATAATCCACTCAAAACTACAGCAAGAACCCCCATCGGACTTTGACAAGGACGCTACTAGGGGCTCCTGGCCTTACTACTAGGAGCAAGGACGCTACTAGTAACAGGATATGACAGTTTTGTTCAGTTCTGCGATTCGGTGTTTGCCATCACTTCAACTCGATCGCCGACGACCATCGGGAGAGCCGGGAACATGATGAGGTGTGCCTCCAATCCGCTTCCATGATTCAGCCAGGTCGGTATAGGATCTACCCTGATCCACATACCTTCGAAGGAAGGTAGTTGGACAATGTTAGACGAAATCTGAAGAATGTGGATCCCTTTCGGCCCAGGCTCGGTTTCAGCCTGACTGCCTCTCTTCATCTTCTTAGCCTGCGCATTTGTTTCGCCTTTCTCAAGCTGCTTGGAAACACTCAACAATCGACATGTGAGTCAATGGAGATGTCACTCATTGGGTCTCCATACCTTCTGCATGGCAACGGGTAGCCTTCGGTTTGGAGCACATGGCAGCATGTAAGGACGCAAAACAGCTCCCTGTTGGTGACAAACCAACTCGGAGTCATTCCAGCAAGGACGCGGTACCAAGCCGCAGCTCAACGGATGCAAAACAGCTCCCAGTTCCACAGCAAGGTAAAAAGAAAAAATCTTAGGAACCAGGCCTGAGCATGTCGTGGATCATCGCTGCAACACTACTAGTTCGTCAATCCGCTCCATTGGGACAGTTTTCATCTGAACATGGGATTCTCAAAGAGGAACAGGACACAACTTGACACAACTGCAGAAAGAATTTAGGATTCCCTCCGTGCCCCCAAAGGCATCTTGGTTCGACATTCGCAGCCCTGTGCCTGTTTCTGAGAGGCTCGCCACAACTCCAAGAGCTCGAACTGTTCTTCACCTGCCTGTGCTTAATAGCCAAGAGGGAAAGTCTGGGGAACCATGATGACTCAATTTGGTCCTTTGAATAATAGCAAAGGACTCATGAATATCAATTCCACCTGAATTTGAATAATTCCACTACAGGTCAAAGGACTCCTTTTGTTGGAGTTGATCATACAGAAACACTCCTCAATGAGGCAAACGACAAGGTCTTACTGGATCTCACATGTCATCTTTCGTACGAGAACTTAACTTCGTGCATGCAAGCAACCAGTACAAACATGTACAATAGTTTAAAATTGCATTCCCCCTCATGCCCCAAACCTACGCAAAACATCCCCAAACATGTATTCCAAATGTGCATCCATATGGCCGTGTATTCCAAACAAAAAATTGATACCTTAGACGCCGCACTTCGGCGCCTGGGCGCTTCCACTATCGGAATCGGAATCATCGTCCTGGATCGCTCGTTTCGGCCGCAATGCGTCTGAACCTGCCGTCTTCCCAAGGCCAGCTGATCTACAAAAATCAACATTGGCCACCCAAGTATGCGTTTCAAAACAAATATTGTGTTTTAGTTGTGTTCAACCCTGAAAAACCTAGGACGTTGTTATCTTATATGTTCAAAGACTGAACATGATTCCTTGTGTAGTTGCATTCAACGACAGCAAACATGGATTTCACCAACGTCACCCTTTGTCTCTCTCTCTCTCTCTTTCTCTTTTGCACAAGTCTGTAGTGTTTTCTTTAAAATAAGTTGTTAATCAAACATCTTGGCAATACTACTATGAAAGCCATTTTCCGCCTCCCCTCATCTAACAATTCTCTAAAAATACCTCCCCCAGTTATTGCGTTCCTTGTGACGAACACGCATACACACCATGCAAATCCCTGTAATGATGCGTCGCAAGACCTCACGTTTGTAGCCGCCTCGAAGGGTCAAATTCGCAACTAAAGGGTTACACTGTGTAGTGTTTCTGTGTAAAACAACCGGTTTTCGACGCACTAAAGGAGAACCGCCGATCGCATTTGGTTTGCAAATAGTTGTGGGTCAAAACTCTCATGCAGTGCGCCCCGAAACACTTGCAAAGAAACCCAGAACAAATGAGGAATGACTGTTTCAACATCGGAAAGATCAGTGATACTCCACAAAGTGACTCCCAAAAAACATTGATTCTAACATATTCTAACCGTAACTGCCAGTCTTTATCCAAGACGCTTAGGATTTTTAAGGACTAAGACTTTTGCCACCAAGCAGGCCTTCAATCGAACATTGCAAAATGAAGACTTGCCAATGTTGGCTTCACGTGACGTGGTTAAACACCACCAGACAAACGACGACAAAAAACAAGATATCAATGACAATGTCAATGATATCAACATTATTGTGGTCAAACAACACACGCTTGTTTCCCATGCCCACGCTCGGCCCCTTTGAGCCCGACGAAGGCCCATGACTAAACGATGACAATGTAGTGATATCGATGACAATGTTGTGATATCGACCATACCGGGTGGACTGACTTGCCTTCACCGCCAATTGATCCAGTCTTCTGATGATTTGTAGGTATCAAACTTGCAACCTCCAAGCATCCTTAGCTATAGGATCGGTGACCACCCACCACATCAAAAGAAAAACCTTGAACAAATCAGGCTTTCCATCAGGCATACTCTAGTACGCTTCGATACGCCGTTGTTCATTACGGCCGACTAAAAGCCCCCCAGGCTTGCCCAACTTGCTGTGACACTTCATGCCTCAAATCCTGGCCGATGCAACCGTCGTGCACAGAGTTGCCCTTCCCATCCTCAACCTGCAAGAAAGAATGTTCCCTCATGGCTGCTCGTTCTACACTGGCGCCACTGCCCACTATCCACCTTTGTCCTTTTTCCATCGCTTCACGTTGAGGGTGAAGCCTTGAGACTGGAACTCCTCCTTGAAATGCTGCCTGGCACTTTTCGATCTTGAAGCATCTCTCCAGCTGACCTGGGTATAGTGGAAGTAACACTTCCCACACTGCTTCTCTCCTCTCCAATTTGACACGTTCTTGCTTCTCCATGATCCCCATGCGTATACACAACTTAAGACACGCTTCGCACAGCTCCTTGTTTTTTCGATGCTTCTGGTTGGACAAGGAGAAGCAAATGTTCTGCTTCCAGTGCTGAATCTGCATGTCCTTGCTGAGCATACCAACAGGCATTCTGATCTCCATGTGCTGAGTGTCGATTGTGAGCTTTCAACAACCACCTTTAGCGAAGGATCGTCATGTCACGCTGGCCACTCACCCTCCTTAAGGACCCGTAGCTGCTCGGGTTCACACATTGCACGAAGACCGTCCATAATTCCTGAACTGACCTGGGCCAACCTGATTGTCGAAGTCAAAACAGACTGTTTGGTGAACCAAGGCGCACTTAATCCCGAGAACCTTTAAAAAGACTTCCCAATTAACAAAAAAACACGTCCGAAGCCCTAAACTCGGCTTATACCTAGACCCTCCCGAGGCAATAATTTTTGCCGTAGGCTGTTGAGGCAATAATTTCTGCCGTAACTCATTTTTTCTGCCGTAGCTCAATCCCTGGAAAGTGAAAATGCCGTCAGAGAAGTGAAAACGCCGTCACAAAAGAAGAATCGCCGTTTTGATTGATCTACCAAAGAGGATATTGTTTTGGTCCGTCCATACCCTGAAATTGCCTTCTCCTTTTTCACTTGTAAGTAGAGCTCATCGTTTTCAAGCCTCATGGTAGCACTTCTCAAGATGTTGCAGCCCTTGTCTAAGGTCTCGATTGACATCACGGCAGGATTTGTTCACATTTTGATCATGCAATGGCTGAAAGGATCGCTTGTGACATGTTGTGACAAGTCTTGCTGCCACCTTGAGTGACCCTATAGACAGGGTAAGGGAACGACGCCGTAAGTAGGGGGAAAACGCCGTAAGTACGGGGAAAAACGCCGTAAGTACGGGGAAAAACGCCGTAAGTACGGGTAAGAACGCCGTAACTTTAAACGCAAAATCTTCTGCAACGCCGCGCAAGAGGTCGAGCCCGCGAAAACCGACGAAAACCCAGCATGTGACACTTCCATCAGCTGCCCTTTCCACTTCACATGACTATGCGAGTTTGCTGATATAATAAGACGCCTTTTACGTTCAGTTGCCTGTCAAGCAAGACCCTACAATGTTTTCATACTCGCCTGCACTAAAACTAAAACGAAATGACTCTTTGAGGCGCATGGATGTGTGGACCAAAATTGCCGTCAACTGACCGAAGCTGCCGCAGTTCATCAAGAAACGCCGTCCCCATGAGATCAATATGGAAGAACGCCGCAGAACGGAAAAAGGCGACGTTTCATGAAAACGGCAATTATTATTGCCGTAACGAAGTTCCAGGTATTTGTTTTTAAATTACCACCCTTTCAAGCCGCTACTAAACTACCAACATGGTCGATTTTGGGGGTAGTTTCTTTTATTAGGTTCCAAAGCCATCCGTAACTGCCCACATCTGTCCGCCCTGTGTATCCACCATGACACGCCGCGTTTACAGCAGCAGGCCAGGTTTTCCTTCCTCCAATGGCACGGACTCACGCAAACGCACTTGCCACCGAGGTCGTGCAAAACCACATGGCACAGCGACATCACTGTTCGAAATCTTTCGAAAGCTTTGGTTGTTAGTCTAATGAAGAATCAGTATTCTAATAAAGGTTTTTGTAGGGGACAAGGAAGACCCTTCGATCTGGAGGTTTTTTAGAATTGTTGATGCGAGTTTAATAAAGGATTTTATATAATGTTATACAAGTTTTTCCTGGATGACTTTTTGGTTTTGAAGCTCTTCCCAGGTGACCCTATTTTGGACCCCCCCGATTGCAGGGACCCCCTATTAGAAAAAATGCGACCGAGTTTCTCTTATTAGGGGGGGCCGTGATTCTTAATAGGTGGACAGGATTATTCTACATTATCCTGCTGATGGTGCGTTTCCAATCCACACTGACAAAACCATGGTGGCATTGCCCTCCTTGGTATGGCTGACCCATGGTGGTCTAAGACCAAGATAGCCCCTTGCCAAAGGGCCAAAGGGCTTTCCCGACCAGTCTGACGGAGCCCTTTCGCAAGAAGCATCTGGCCCTTTGACGCCTTCGACGTATGGCCCAGTGCCAAGTGGGTTCGCTCATAACTGTGGCGGCGGATCTCAAACAGCAGGAAAGGAGCCCACACAAAAGGCGACCAGCCGGCGCCCATGCACGGACAGGCAGCGGGGCACTGCCTGTGCTACACAGAGCCTTGCAAACCCAAAACACCCAAGCTCAAAAACACGGAGCTTAGCTCACGTCCACCGGTCCTCGCCCTTCTTGTGCGGCCGCTCGTCCGGCGTGCCGGGCAAAATCGCCGTCGGCTCCCCGGAGGGCTCCCGACGCTTCATCACCTGCGGGTGGAGCCGCCGCGGTGCGGCTCCGGGCCGGAGATGAAGGTGAGGCCAGAAATCGAATGAAGAATGACAAGAAATAATGAGATAAAAATAAGCGTGATTTCGCTGTATAAGTCTTCTCTAATCATCGATTGGACATCCATTTCTATCTCTTTGGGGACATGGTCTATACTTGGAGAACAACAGCTTGCCGCAACACTTACCTGGACCCACCTGAAGTGAAAAACTGTCTATACAACTTGATTAGCACATTTGAACACATTTCAGCACAAGCTAACTCATGTGTTGGTGTCCAAAGTTCCTTGGCTTCCATTCGGGCACAGCTGGTGCCCCCGCCTGCCGCGAGGACTTTTGCGACTGCCCGGACGCAGCAATCCTGAAAACGCGTCCAAGACAGCCCCTTTTGTGACCCAGCAAACCAAGGGGAATGACTTTGGCATATTTTTGTCCAATGGTTTGGGTCTTTAGTCTACACTTCGACTCACTAACATGGAGAAAAATCGTCTTCCCCGGGGTCCGTGTCCACTTCCATCTTAGTGAGGCGGAGAGTAGTTCTTTTGTTTCATCTTGCAAAGGGTCTTTGGGGTCTCAATCATAGTCAATCTACACCCACCCCAAGTGGATGAAGGATACAACTTACAACGACCAAAACACCACACAATCGACACAATTCCAGGGGCTTGCTTTTCAGTCCAAAAATGCCGGGCTCGATTGGCACAAGATACACTTGGCACATCTTGGCCCTTTGGCAACTGCCCGGTGTCGGGAAAACTGGCCATCCGAGTGCAAGAAGGCCAAGTCCAGTCTGACCCAGTCCAACCTGGTGTTACATTCAGTGAACCATCTGTTCGAATGAAAAATATCTCTCAGGTCCAGTATACCTGAGATCTGTAGAGATGAAGTCGTCATGCGTCTAACGACTCCAGTTGACTGATGGCTCCAACTCTGAAGCCGTCTTTGCGCGAAAGTTGGATTCAAAGTGGAGCCTTGCATGCTTGGAGCTCCAGACCATAGTTTTCACCAAGTCTTGACATAAATCCTCGAGAACTCTGCACCTGGAGCAAAGTCGGTTCATGTCGTTTCCCAAACAAAACGCGGATATTTTCCACTAGCACCTCTTCAATTGACCTTCCCACTCCCTCCTGCTTCCAGAGCTTCCCAACTCTCCCGCTGCGCAGAATCAAAAGACCTACTCCAGCAAAGCCGTGCACACCAAAAAGAGAACACTCTGGGGGTTCCCATAAATCCACACCACCAAGGCCATAACGGGTGGCCTGGTGCAAAAACGCCTCCCAGCGGCTCTCCCTGTGGCAGGGGCTTCCAGGGTTCCGCCTGTTGCATGCTGGAGCTCAAGGGCACCCAGGCCATGAAGGCTTGCCAGCTGCCCTGCGGCTGGTTCTTACCTCGAGGTCAGGGGGGCAAACAAGTTGGAAGGTTTCTGCCCATTTTTCACAGGCAAGGGCAAGGGCATGTGAAGGAAAACATCGATATGGACTTTAAGCAATTCGCTGCTTCTTTATCGACTTGTTGCACCATGCAATGCTATAGGGAGTCACCAATGGTCAAATCTACCTTGCTTCGTTTACGAGTCACAAGTCGCCCTTGACCTCCTATTCGTGTCGGTTTTGGTTGCTCTTGACCTCAGCCCTCCCATCACTCCTCAAATCTTTGTGGCACTAGGACCCAAACAAAAATGAAGAGCCGACCCAGTCGACCGAAAAGGGGTGTCACCGAGAAGTTGGATAAACAGTCATAAACATATTATTACTATTACTATAATTGTTATATTTTTTATAACATAATATACTATATATATATATGCATATCTTGACATATTCTATTTTAGCGAAACGTGTGCTCCTTGCCGACTTTCTGACAGGCCTGCACTTTGGGTCTAAAATAGTCTAAACTATGTCTAAACACGTCTAAACTAATGCATGATTCTTGATACATGGGTGAACCAACAAATTGGTGGATTTAAGTGATTAACCCAATCAATCTCACCTCAGGGGTCAAACAAGAAACCACCACCTGGAACTCCTATAGCCGGGACCTCCGTCTTCTGCCTTCCAAGCTACCTCCCTTCCTCACCGTCCCGCGTCCTCCCCCGGCGCCGCCATGTCCAGCCGGTGGAGGTAGAGCCGAGGGGTCGGGAATGGCGTTCTTCTTGGCGTCCTTTCTCGGCGTCTTCCGGTGAGGAAATGGTCCAAGTGAGTGCGGAGTAAAACAGGGAGACCTCTCAGGCAACGACCCCCCCGGAAGAAGGACACATGGCGCAAAACCCAGCCTGGCTGGGTGTCTTCCTATCAAAATTGGGGTGAGGACATGAGGCGCTATGAGTCGGTTGCCAGGTCTTGATCGACACAAAATGGACCCACCAGGTCTTGGTCAAGTGTGGGAGGCCAGGTTCCGAAAGAAACATAGGGAAGAAACAACACCAAAAGCATAGTCACAACCACATTGGAAAGTCAACTCAACAAACAAGTTCCCAACCCAAAGGATTGTTCTTTGATGCTCTCTGGAGGAACATGGAGGAACTAGCATGAACTAGGCACACTGTGCACACTGACCCGGCCAAAGTGAACAAGCACTCCCAACTTGTGAGGCTTCTCTCCGAAGACGAGTTCGGTTGCTACAGTCTCAACATCCCCAGGTGGACAAATGATTAACAAAGAGGTAACGTGAATGCCCAAAATCACATGTTCTAAACCAGCTTATTCCCAGTGACCGCTTGGCTTGCTTTAGGGTCTGCAAGTTCAAGTGCCCATCTCTTCGACCTCAAACTGAGCTTGAGCAAGGCTTACTTTGAAGTACCAGGAAAACACATGCCACATGTGGAGCCCCACGTGCTACGCGAAATGAACCACAAACACTCCAAGACCAACCATCCATAAGTGTGAAACCGTAGCAAAAACTGATCGAACACCGAGATTCGGATTGATTGGCGGCCAAGTCCCTCCACGATCCCCTCATCTCCCCTCAAAAAACCTCTCCCGGTCCTTGTCATCCTCATCATCCCGAAAGGCATGGGCTCGATTTCCCCGTCCAGCCTGTCGAGGGTCGCACGTCGGACCGGTGCGGGCGAACCGGCCGGAGGTGGGCGGGTTGGACGGAGGTGGGGCCAGTGCGATGACTCGACCAAGCGCATTGGAGCCGAACGAACTATATAGTTCTTGGTAATATACCTGTATATGTAGTTATTGGAACTCTATATATGTCTACTTATTTTAAGATGTTATAAGTATATACCTATTGGTACAATTTGGGTACTTTCCATCTAAGGGAGTGTCAAAGATCTGGTCTACGAGTCTACTGGACCTGGTCATATGGAAACATGATTCACTAAAGTCAAGGACCAGGTGTTGCGGGGACAGACTGGACTTGCAGGGTCTGACTTTGCTAGTTCACTACTGTCAATGGAAGAACTACCACACAAATTGGCCATACAAGCTCTTGAAACGTCTCTCCGAACAAGCTTCCTTCTCAGAATGTGTTTGGGAAGTGGGAGGATTTGGAGGGTCCATCCATATATTCTGTGAACGTCATTGGTTCCATACCTTTCGGACTTAAACAACTACATAGACTAGAATCCTTCCTGACCACTTGGAATTGGGTTGAACAACATTGATTTACTCTGAATATAAAGTTTCCTACCCCAAGGACTTTAAACATTAATAATTAGTCACAATTAATATGTTCATGATGCGTCCTTATATTGTCCTCCACCACTCTGTGTTTATGAAAGTAGTTCGTACTGTAACAACGGTCTTGGACGCCTGGCTTGGAAGTCTGGCTTCTGCACTTTTGTCCACCTTCTTCGAGAGATTTCAAGGACCTTCTTCCAGGCTCAGCAAAGCAGGTCAATTCCCGACAGGGTCACAAACCCAAATCCGAAGCACACACCAGTGAAAGAGGTCTCAGCCAGTGACGAAACGGACGTTCGATCTGATGACAGGTCCCTGGACCTGTGGCGGTATGCCCAAGCTCGGTCGAAAAACCAGAGGAGTGGTTGCAAGGGAGATCAAACTCGATCCATGGAACACTGAGGTCCTCACTTCAGTCTAAGTCTCTTGATTTTACTCAGCCCCTATCGAAAAGTTCGTTCACGGCTCACGCCTTCTTCTTGGGCTCAGGCACGATGTTCTGGAACATCATCGACTGCACGTGCTCTGTGGACTTCAAACCCAACTTCTCGCGCAGCAACATGTTCTCGGCCATCAAATTTGCCACCTGGAGCAGCTCTAGAATCTCGAGGCAGCAAAGAGTGTCCAGTCAAGACCCGTGAGCCGAGTGACAAACCCGGTGAGATGGAGCCCTCGTCAGCAGGGTCCTATAATGAAAATATGGGTGCCGGGGCTGCCGGGGCCCAAGATCATGCAAAGAATGAAGAATGTCTGGCCAAAGATTTCTAAATGGGGCCAACCTGTATAGTTGAAGAACAGTTTGGCCAACATCCAATCCAATGCCAAAAGGATCCAAAAGGCCCATACAATGCCAGCTGCATACGACATCATACGATGAAGACTCAACTTCACCAATCGGGGCAGTCGGGTGCCTGACACCACGTGACGAACGAAAGTCCCCCGGCCTCAAAGTCGTGGGACTGCTGGATCTCTTCCAAGCTGTCCAAGTGTTGCATCAAGACCTCGGGTGGTTGAAAGGCACGACGACTGACCGGCGGATTCTTGGGTCGATGCATCCAAAATGCAATTGGTGAAACGCATTCCCAAAGAAAAGTAGAACAAAAAACTGCTTTGTTTGGAGTGTGGGACTTCCCCGCGCTTGCGCGAGCGTCCCGCTCGACGCTTCGCCTCCTCGGCTTGTGCCCGGAAGTCAGCGACGCACTTGGCCAGGCCTCGCCAGCCGCTTGGTGGAAAAGGCTCGATCGGGGACTGGGGACTGAAGATGGCTCCAAGATGCTCCAAGTCGAGCCTTGTCCGGACCGAAAACAAAGAAGGGGTGTGAACAAGGGGGATCCACTAAGTAGTGTGATTAGGGTAGGAGGGTGTAGGAGTATAGTTTATTGGGGACTCCGAAAGGAAGGTGCTGATTCAGTCACTTCGACTCTTGAACCAACGAAGGGAAGACAAAAAAAGAACCTCATAGACCAACCTGAAACAATCCAATGCAAATGATTCATTTGGCGTGTGTCCTTTTACCCTAGCTGCAGTCATGCGACAGTTTCATACAGGATTTGTCTATACATGGTAGTGGATCATCTGGAATAAGCTACATAAGTTATATAAGTGCCTCTGCTACCAACAAAAGCTGCCGTGATGAAGGCTATGAATCAATCTATGAACGATCCGCAACACCTGCCAGACCATTGATGTTGGGGGAAAAATAGGAGAGAACACCTGCGTTGCAGAAGTAATTACAACATCGTACAACACATTGTTCAGTATATACAGGCTGTCTGAAGTGTAACAACACAAACACCAGTAGTTGAACCGGGTCAGTAGTTGAAAACCTCAACAACACCTTGCTCCAAATGATGCCTTGCCCCAGAAGCCGCACGCGCGCCGGGCACGCACTGCGCTCTAGCCGCTCTAGCCACTGGCCTGTTTCCAGTTGCTCCACTTGCTCCTGGAGTCCAACTCCATGTGTCCCATGAGTTTCAATGGCACGGGGCTCCCAAAAGGTCTTGCACAGATGGGGCGTCCCACAAAAAGCACCAAACTCGTATAGGGCAACCTGTGCCATCAAAAAAGACTCTCAATCCAGTATAACTCAATCCTCATGGTGCCATGCAATGGACATGAACGACCCGTCGCCCACCCCAGCTCCACGTCACGTACCCGCGTCTCCCGTCCGATGGGTCCAATACACTGGGTGAAGCGTCAAACGGTTTTTTCGTTCGCGCCAAGTTGGGAGGTTAGCTTCTGTCTGCCCAACTTGGCGAAGCCTGAAGTACAGGTCGATTGCGCATAGCATTTGACAAAGCAACATGAGCTCCAAGAGAAGAGATTGTTGGATGATTTAGCTGTCTTTGGTAGACATGACATGAGCTGTTGTCTCTTCGACGTCGGTCTTTTGATCATCTGCTTTGATGACTTCTGTCCATGTCCATGTCCATGTCGTCATGTCGGGACGTCCGACATCTGTCGCAAGCTTCATCGGACGGTCTCTCTATAAGCCAGCCAAATAGACGATCTAATGCTACAGTAGAAACATGTAGAAACATATCCCAAACACGACCTGTCTAAGACAGGAATATATGGTTGAAAAGGGATCTGCGATACATGGAGTGTATGGGAATGCTGCATTTTGATGCATTTTGTTGAAATTTTAATGATATTTCATGATGACGATGTGTTTCATTGAAGCTTGAGGGCTAAGACCCTGAATGAAGCTGGAGATCGAGAATGAATATGTTCATCGAGCAAACAAACATGGGTGAGTATGGTTTAGACTTATTGAATATTTTTACCGTACCCCAGCTGTTTGAGCAGGTGGATGGTAGATTGGGATCAATCAGAAAAGCCAGAAGGGGCTAAAATGGTGGAAAACACACCCGCTGAATCGACACTCTGCCACTGGCCTCAGGGAACCCTCTCTTGGAAGACATTGATTGCAAAAAAAACAACAAACAACAGTGCACGATACAATGATTTCAGAGTGGATGGCACATCCATTATAGTTTAGATTAGATGGGGATCCACTGGATCCCCAACCTCCCGGTCCCTCGATCAATAAAGATTCTGCGCCGCTTGTCCTTTCATCAAAAGCATCCAAAAGCACACACCCGTTTCTTTTTCACATAGACTCACCGTGCCAGGAACTGACTCTGCATGTCATTTTATTTACATCAATTTATTGCCATGAGGCTGTGGACGATTCCGTCTTAGGCACTTTGCAAAGGAAAAAGGAACACAAAGAACACACCAAACACAGAAACACCCTCGAACAAAAACAGAGCAACGCGCATCGCCCGCGCAGTCAGTCGAGTCCGTCTCAGAGCAACGGCGGTGCGAGAGTCGGCTCGTCCAGTCGGCTCCTGCAAGGTCTTTTGATCTGGACTGGTTGACCTCGTCTTCTCCTTTTCCATCTTCTCTTTCAGGTCCTTCGGATAACCTGGGCGTCTCCCAAAAACGAAACAATGAATGCACCGACGCAAAGTTGGAATTTGGCCGTACATATTGCTGGGTAAATTCTGGTGAACAAAGCTCGGTATAATGAGGGAGGGAGGGATGGAGGGAGAGAGCATCAGATCCCAAACACTCCATAATGGAATAGTTACTAACATTAGGGTCATAAATGGAGTATATGATTGAGAGTAGATAGAGTAGATAGCACAATCCCCGAGTTTGATGATTGTTTTACATTAACCTCCATCTGTCTAAGACCTCTTGGGGGGCCCGTGGGGCCATCGAACCTCTGAAACCGCTGGAGATCATGGGGTGCATGGAGATCATTTGGATCTCGTGAATTCACACGGAAACCATTTGCCTGTAGCTCTCCCAGTCCACGGATGCTCTGGGTATAGCCGCCGTCAAGAAAGGCCGCGAAAGAGCCAAGTCGCACTCTTTCTCCAAGGTTTTGGGCACCTTGATCTCTCCCGGCATCTCTGAGATCACTGTCAATTCCAGGTCTTCCTGCGAGAGAGTTCAGGCGGGTGAAAAAGGGCTGGAAAGAACCGCGCTGACCAGTGCAGGAATCTGGAACTCCTAACAAACCCACTTCTCCACCCTGTTCTCTACAGGACTAAACCGTTAGCAGGTCCCTCATTATCCACCACCTCACAAAGGACCGGGTCATGCAAATACAAATTCTGTGCCTATGCCATCCTATGCCCAACCCCAGTTTACCATTGACTTGAACACCGTTGCGCCCGGACTGGACCAATAACTGATCGGAAAAACAAACGGTCCTCGTCTGCCTTGAAGGGCGCCTCAATGGTAACCCGCTTGCCCTTTCGGGGGGAGCCCTTCTGGGCCAACGCAGACTTGAGTTCAGCCATGGCGCCGACGCGAGTTTCAGCCGGAAAAATAGTTTCGGCTGAAAAGAGTTGCCCAAGTGAACAAGTCTGATTGTTTAGAGAACTCAGGCAGAAACACATAAGCAATGTATACATGATTGTACATGGTAGTGGTGTTCCATGACAACCACCCTCCATCGGCCATACCCCCAAACGCCTCGGGATTGTTTCTTGCGGTGTTCCAAAACAATACAGGCATGCGGAACCGCTCCTTTTTTGCGTTTGTGCAACGAACGGCTCAGTTCTTTCCAAGAACAGCACCCCTGTCAAGGACGTCTAAGACCTTCTCTGCTTCGAACAAGCTCAGCATGGTGCGAGGGTTCGATCTTGGTCGATGTCGAGCGATCCTCTTTGGGCCAAAGAAACTGAACGAAGAAACGTGTCGTCATTCGTGTCGCGTGGCTGCGGATTGAAAGGAATGACATGAAGAGGGATAAATGATGTATCTTACACCCCCAAGCAACAAGATCTTGCCACATTATGGTCTGATTTGGCTTGCTGTAGGCATTCTATAGCTGGTACCAGTGCCCTCATCCATATATTCCATTGTCATTGCTCTTCTAATGGAGCCATTAGCTTGGCTACCCCTTACAACCTACACCCATTTTGAAGTCAAGCACTCCCAACCTTCAATCCCAAACGTGAACACGCAAACAGACTCTGTGACGGGAGAAGCAAGACCAGTAGGGGCCCAGAATGGGTCATACCAGAATCTTATCACAGGCATCAACTGCTTCATGGATTCGTCCCCTCCCAGAAAATCTGCCAATTTGGCCGTTCGTAGGTGGAACATCTGAGAGGAACTAGGCGCCAGTGGCGTCTATGCCTGCCTCACAGCCTCTTTCAGATGTTTTGTGGAGGCCTGGCTAGTTCTTCAGTAAATCTCATAGCCTCGTTGCTTCAATCACCTCGCTCACATTCAGGGAGACAGCATGTGTTCATTGTAATTGTGGATGCTCCGCTTTGTGGGCTCTGATTCAAATCCAACTCTCTCTGATTCGAACTTTTGGATGAAACACATCGAACATGTCCCTCAAACATCCACTTTGGAGACCAGCTTGGAGTGCTCAGGACCCCGCTACCACCCTTGAAAGACACCTTTTCACTGGCAGAAACGCACCCGTTGTGTCACCCACCCCGCAGACCCCCGCTCTCCACTTCATCAACCCTGCGAGAGCCCGCGCCAACCGATTAGGCACGACACAGCTCAAAGCAAAGCCACGAGAATCCTATTCGGGGGCCAGTCTGGGCGGCCGGTCTGGAACGTCTGGTCTGTGCATCTAAACATGTTCAAGCACTCTGTGGATTATGTACGTATGCATTGCCATAGCTTGCGCTATAGACCAACGGGTTCATCAATAAAAGGACTCCTAATAATGGATCTCCCTTGGACAACCCCGTGGAATCTGGGAGCTGCAGTATCGCATGTCCATGCGGGAACCGAAAAAAGACTGATCAAAATCTGATCTCCTGGACGGCCAGGCCTAGCAGAGTCGCAAATGGCCATGTTTCACTTCAAAAAAAAAAAAAGAGTAGGAGACCCTCAAGCGCCTCCATGACATAGCTGGGCATGCCCTGTGCAACCTCGCATTTCGCAAAGGCGAGCTTGCAACCAAAAGGATGGATGGGACCAGGTGGCGATGCCGGCTCAGGGTTGAAGAAGTGTTTGCCGCGTTTGCCTTCCTTCTTGATGCATAATGGGTTGGGCCTGAGCAAGTATAAAGATCTAAACAACAACAACAAAAAGAAGAACAACAACCACAACAACAAAAAGAAGAACAACAACCACAACAACCACAACCACAACCTTAACAACCACGACAACGACAACGACAACGACAACCACCACCACGACGACAACAACAACAATCACATTGGTCACCAGGTCACCCAGTCACCCTGTGCCAAGTTAGCTAGCCGTGTATTTACAGTACTACATAGTTCAGTAGTTACATATTTATGCTAGCGAGGGGTTCTCGTTTCCTTTGAAGAACCCCTGTACAGATCGTTGGGAGCTTTTGGCTTACACCTCTATGCCAGTTCGACCCACTTTTGCTTCTTTGCTTATACGCGCTTGGCGGTGAAGGCTATTTCGGATTCTTTTGATGCCTGCGATTGTTTGTTCTTTCGAGAAAACAAAGTGGCTTTGGGGATTTCATGTCCCTGCAGTGGGCTGTACATGCGGGTCAACCGCAATCTCATTTCTGCCACTCATACTGCTGTCTGCACTTGGACCACGAGTTGGCCTGTTCGTCTGGTGGTCGATTTGGCTCGGCCTCTTCCGGTGACCGCTCACACCGGCGAGTTTCGCTGCGAACCGTGGACTTGGCCGCCGCTCTGCTTGCGCCGAGTGGGTGCCATGTGAGATGTTGGAGCATTATATATTTATTCGATATAAACAATTTTACAAAATATACCACTTCGCCACTTCCGTAAGCGCCAGTCGTGATGCACGTGTCAAACATCAAAAAGAGGCCCAGAACACCGATCGTAACAACATGCTGCACCCGGCCGAGCCATTCGGAATCCTCATACATGGTGATGGGTGAAGGACATTGGTTGACCGCCCATCAAAATTAACAAATTGGACGACCGTTCTTGAAGATCTTGAAGGGGTCAACCTCCAGGTTTTGACCCACGCCCATATTATCCACAATGGGTGTTCCTTTACACGAGCAGACATAGACATCGCTTGTCCAAGGCCCCTATCTACTTTCAGAAGCAATACTCGAGGTTCACGGAACCTTTCCCGATGACACTGCTCCTGAAAGGACCTTTGCCAATTTCCATGGTCAAATAAGTTTCATGGTGAAGAAATGTATATACCTTTTTTTGCGTGTCACATCATGTCACAAGGTTACCAGTACATGGGAGTGTCTTTTGTTTGTCGCTCCTGAGCGGATGTTTGACTATGGGGTATGTTTCGCCTATATAAGTCGAACATCCCAACTCTACATCAACTATCATAAACTAGGGAGAGGTTAAAACAAATATATATATATATAGATGTAATACAGTAAAACATAGTAAAACAAACATAGAAGCCCACGTGGAGTCTGAGTGTTGTCATTCCTTCATGAACGAATCTGAGTCGACAGTCTCGTCCTCAATCAGTGGGCCCCCCAAACGGAACCGCTCAGACGTCTCCAACCGCTGGAAACGTCTCCCAGAGGCTTCCGGAGGGTCCGGTCCTTGTCACGTTTCCCGCCTGCATCATGGTGGCAATCCCCGAGTTCTGACCTCGCGAGCCCGGGGGCCCGGGGCGGCCGTACCAACCGCGGACCGGGCGACGGGTGACGAGAAGCGACATCGCATAGGAGGCCACAAACAGAATGCTCGGGCCAAGCTGAGATCCAAGAAGTATGATGACATCGCTACTCGTGACGAGTGCATTACTAGTAGTAGCAAGAAGCTACTAGTTACAAGGACATTGCTACTACGAGTAGTAACGAGTGCATACACAGGACGGTCTTCTCAGACTGTAAAGCTGCACAATCCAGACGAGCTGAGAGAATGCCGCACCGTGCACTGAACAAGGAACGAGGTCGCTCGCGAACCGTGGCACTCCGCACCTGCCAGCAAAGGGTTTGGCATCTGCAAAGGTGAAGCCAAACCATTGCCCATGGCCTCGCCAAGTTGCGGTAACAGGTGTCGTGCAAAGTGCTGCATGGGAGACTGGGAGACGCATGTGATGCCACTGAAATACCTTTTACGATGAATCCACCCAAATATACAATAATATACTAAAATACATACATGTGCGAGCAAGTGACCTCTGATCTCTCACAGGGTCACTTAAAAAACCAAGTGATGGACGCATGCAGCCAAAAGCGTTGAGTTGATGCGGCCGCCAACGGCTCCGCTATAGCGATGGTCGATCCTTAAACTCGAACTCAGAGTACCTCAAAGTCACCCAAAAAAAGAAAACAACAAGGTGTTACACGGCAAACTGTTTGGCATCAAACAAAAACATCAAACATGGTTCGAACTCATATATTAAACAACAACTCAGAAATTACCATGAAATCCATATAAGTCCAAGCATTCAAAAGGATTTGTTAAGAAAGGCCCGTCCAAAGAGGTCACAAAGCTCAACTTCTTGCCTTCACAGTGCCTTGGCTTGAGGCCCACGTGCTGAACCTCAGCTCCGGTGCCGTGACCTCCACTCACTGACCAGAGTCTGAGAAGCCACACAGAAAACAAGAGCACACAATGGGTACAGTGCACCCCATTTGGGAAGGAGGAACCTCCTCCACTTCCAAATTCCACGAACGCGAACGTGCGTAACATCGCTCTCCCAGGCTGTTTGGTTTCAACAGATCCCAAACACGACCTGTCTGGAACCTGTATATGCTACCGATCAGTTAGGGTGGTTGATGCCCGGGGTCAATGTATGCATGTATTATAATGTTCGATATATTATACATGGAATTACATGGAGCATGGGGCCCATTGGGGAAGACAATCACATCCACCGTCAAGTCTCTTGACATGGAGGTCAGGTCGACCACCAGACGTACTCAGCCTCCCCAAGGTGACGGTGAGAACTTGTAGAATTCTTGCATGAGGCATGAGGAACCCAAGACTCCCAATAGGTCAATCTCATTTAATAAGAGGTCGATGAACTCGGATTGAAGTCCCAGCCGGGAGGGCGCAAGCGTCCTGCCAAGCAGCCCAAACTCCCCCAACAACGAGGGTCCATTTGGTTGACCATGTTCCGCAACCGTTGGCTTTATTGGTTCTGGATGGTTTTGGTTTGTATAGCTGGAAGGGTGTAGAAGTTGAAGTTGAACTTAGAGCCTTTTTGTCATGTCGTCAAGATCAAGAGAAATCCTGGGCTGTTGGCTGTTGACACCGCTGGCCTCTTGGCAATTCTGATGTACTGTATATAGTTATAGGGAATCACACTTTGATGGCACTCGCAAAACTCTACTTGGGGAAATGTCATCAACCACTTGAAGCTAGATCCTAGAACAAATAGATGGCATCTAGTGAGATTTTGGAAAAACGACGTCCTTCAAAAGGCTTCAACCA